ATTCACTGTGAACTTATAAACAAGTAAAAATTTTGCATGTTAATTATATTATTATTATTCAAATTCTTAAATATTGTTCATAATCCTTTTAAAATCTGAATTTTTCTTCTACATAATACGATAAGAGATTGATTTTACAAAAAATTAAAATTTTTATAATTCATATTAATGACTGATTTTGACATTTTTGCTGCCAGATGCAAATATAATGTACAGGGTTGTATTCTACTCAAAGTTACCTTTCAAACGATACCCCACATGATAAATTAGTTGGAAAAGCACAAAAAGGTTCCGTACCAGCATGTTAACTATGAACTTATTAACAAGTAATAATTTATCATGTAAATTATATTATTATTATTCAAATTCTTAAATATTGTTTATGATCTCTTCAGAATCCATACTTTGCTTCTATATTAAATGATAATAGTTTGATTTTACAAAAAATATATATTTTTTTAAATTATATTAATGACTGATTTTGTCATTTTTGCTGACAGATGCAAATATTACGTACACGGTTGCATTCTACACAAAAATAGCTTTCAAATGATACCCCACACGACAAAATACTTGGAAAAGTACTAAAAGGTTCCGTACCATCATTTCATAAAGTAATAAGATCTTACATATGAGACCATCCACTGTTTCATCTAAATTACGCTTCTACAAAAATTTTCAAATTATAAAAGTAATTTATAATTATCACAACCTTTATCACAACCTCTGGATTAGCACAAACATTTCAAGACTAAAAGTGGCCAATCGGTTCAACCGTTTTGGAGCCTTAGCATACCTAACATAATACCGAGCACCATTTTTATATATTAAAATATATATACAGAATTGTATTCTACACAAAAAGACCTTGCAAAAGATACCCCACACGACAAAATAGTTGGAAAAATATAAAAAGGTTCCGTACCAATATTTTCGACGTGACAATACTATATTGAAAACGACTATTGATATTACAATAACAAATAAATATGTAATTCTTTAGACATTAATTCTGAAAAAAACTACTTAATTATTATTTATTTATCCCTATCCGGGGTTGGATTCCATTAAAAAAACCTTTTAAACTACATGATATAATCTATTATAAATGTTGAAAATAGTTCAGTACCATTACAAAAATTAGTTTTGAGTTAAATTTGAAGTGTTGTGATGAATTTTGAGGAATAAATTGGTGTTTAAAAGATATTTTAAATTGTGAATAAACGTTAACAGTAAAATTTGTGCAAGATGAAATTCGCAGAACATCTCAATGCTCAATTGACACCAGAATGGAGGAAACAGTACATCAGATACGAGGTAAGAAGTAATAATAAAATTGTATTATGTATATATATATATATATATATATATATATATATATATATGTATATATATATACATCATTCTATAACGAATAAGTTTCTCGAATACACCATCCATATCAATCGAATGGTTTAAAAGTTATGAAAGATATTGAAGTGTGACATTTCTGCCCAACAGCTGTTTCGTGTCCTCCATTTTGTATGTTAAATTCACGAAACCATGTGACGTAGCTGCTACGTAATGAACGAAGCATTTACGTTTAAGCCGATTAAAGTACGTTTGTACGTTTTATTTACGTAACCATCAAGTTCGTAACGACGTTTCTTTTTGTGTTACGTTACTTCAACGTTTGTGGTTATTGGGTAGAATTATAATATTAGACAATGTTATAGAATATTTAGTTTTGTACAAATTTCTCTACTATATCATTTATATTAATCGAATCGTTCTAAAGTTACAAGAGATATTTAATAGATAAATAAATAAATATAATTGTGTTCGACAATTTTTTTTTATTTCAAAGGCGATCTGAAGTATAACGAGTTACTCGAAAGTCTCATGTTATAGATAAATTAATTTTATAAAAAAGTCGTAGATAATTTAATTTCAAACAATTTTCTCTAATACATCATTCATATTAAGCGAATGGTTTTAGAGCTATAAGAGAAATAATAAAATACATAAATGCACTTAATAGAGTGAGAATCACATTGCAACCTTTGATTGCAATTTTAAAGCATACCAAGTTGTTGTAGAACTTCATGATATTAGACTATCTTTTATAATTTTTAATTTTGTACAAACCTCTCGAATACACCTTTTAAATTAATCGAATGGTTTGAAAGTTATGCAAGATATACTAAAGTGATGCATGTTAATGCATATGGCAACACTTTAAGTGTGGTTGTAATATTTAGGGACCGATTCTGCCGTACAACAAAAAAATGTTATGGCAAGGCCATGTTTCGTTCCAACTTCCATACATTCTGCTACTAAATCATATTGAATACTGTCGAATATACATAAACTGCAACGTCACTCGTATGTTATGAACCTGGGTCAGAAAAACTCTGTTATCTAAGATCATTTTCTTTGACATTTGTGCGGTTTCTAGATTATGTTTTCTATCTGACAACTTGAGAAATACGCCTGACTGTGCAACAACCACATGGCTTTTGTCAATATTTTGTAAGGAAAGTTCTTCATAGCATGGCCTTGCCATAACATGTTTCTGTTATGCGGCAGAATCGGTCCCTCAATCGCGTTTTCTGAGTATTCGAATTGTTGTAGGATGTTTAGTTGTTAGGAAAAAGTATAGATAATTTTATTTTAAACGAACTTATCTTATACATCATTCATATTAATCGAATGGTTTTAAAGTTACAAATATATACTAAATAAATGCAACAAAGAAGCTAATTTGAAGATCGATTACTTTCAAATGCAATTATAATTAATATTATAAATAAATTAATTTTAAACAAATTCCTCTAAGACTACATTCATATTAATCGAATGGTTTTAAAGTTACAAGAGATATACAAAATAAATGCAACAACAAAGAAGTTAATAATAAAGATCGATTGCTTTCAATGGCAATTTTTAAGTATACAAAATTGATGTAAAGACATATCATGTAAGATAATATTATAAATAATTCAATTTTAAACAAATTCCTCTAAGACTCCATTCATATTAATCGAATGGTTTTAAAGTTATAAGAGATATAATAAATAAATGCACATGATGATTGATAGGGTTAATGAAACCTGACAGACATGAAGGAATAAAATAGAAATCCTTTCATAATTTAGAAAATTAAAAACGTTTTTACGTCAAAATCTACACGTGTGTAAAGGATCGATATATATATATATATATATATATATATATATATGTGTGTATGTATATATATACGAGAGATTCTTATATAAATAGAATTTCATTAAGTAGTTCCCGAGTAATTTAAATGATTGTACAAAATCCTATGTAGGAACTTAATTAGAAAAGAGGCAATTTATATGCACACTATATAAATTATATATATATATATATATATATATATATATATATAACTCGGGTCATCTAGTATATTTATATATATATATATATATATATATATATATATATGTGTGTGTATATATACTAGTTGACCCGGCAAACGCTGCTATAAAAAATATTTCTAGTATAAAATGTTTAGTATAAAAATAATCAACTGATTACAAATGTAGTGCATAAGTGCAAGGAACAGCTAACAAAAAACATATGAATAGTTTACCCACTGCAAAGCACGCCACATATGAATGTCCCTTAATAGTCTTTGCAAGTGCTAAACTAATCTGAAACTGATTCTATTTAAATTGAACTAGGACATTTATTGTTTCCAGATTTTAATATATTATTACCGCGTTTTTTATTAATTCATTAATTTTTGAATTACGAAGCAAAAGACAATAATTGAAAAAAATAAAAGAAAAATTCTTTTCCGAAAAGCAATTGTTTCAAGAACAGAAACAGAAAGTTTTTTGAATAATTCAGATCGGATGCTTCGTTCTCTCAAAAACTGCCATTTTTTGCACATTTATCTCCGTATCTCCAAAACGGCTAAACCTGCTTTTGCCAAAAACTAATCACCATTTCTCCCTATCAATACGAATTGAACGTATTTTGCATCATTCAAATCGGATGGTCTGTTCTCTCAAAAACTTTCTATTTTCTGCACTCTTTGCTCCGTATCTTCGAAACGGCTGGACCAACCTTTGCCAAAAACTAATCATCACGCCGTCCTATCAATAGGAATCGATTGCTTTTTGAATCACTCAAATCGGTTGAGCGGTGTACCCGAAAACGTCGATAAAAAATTGTATCCACACAATACATACACACACACATCCATTTATCCTAAGGTAAAGGATCAAAATGGAGCCAAAATGCTCAGAAACTTCTGAAACGTAAAGATAAGCAAACATTTATTTCTTTGATTATTATATATTATTATTATTAACGTTGTGTATTGTTATCCACCATTGTGGACCGCCCATTTTCATTTTATGAACCCCAAATTTTTTTTTATCCTGAAAATTGTCATGAACCCCAGAGGGTCCGCCATTTGGGACCATTGTGGGGATAACTGGTTCAGACCCGGTATTTACCAAAAACTAATCAGCACGGTGCCCAGAAGATTAACCCTTTCCACTCGCGATTTGCGAGATCTATATGAATTTTGCTGCCGGAGCGGCGGCATCCGAGTGGGAAGGGTTATAATCTATTAAACAGTTTTTTAACTTTAAAAATGAATTCATAGTCCAGTCATTATAGTAAGTTCACCTCGGAATTCGAGATACTCAGCTGTAAGTTTGTAAATATTTGTATATTGACATTTAAAAGTTTAAAAAAACGTACACCGTACCATATGTAGGTTTTGAGACAACTTTTAAGAGTATCAATATTCAAGTATTTACAGACTTATAGCTGGGTATCTCGAATTCCGAGATTCTTACCTAATTTAAACTCAAATCAGGATTATCAGGATTTTGATCAACATTATATCTTTTCTCCAATTTCAGTATCTGACGATTCATAAACTACCCCTTTGGCAAATTAAAGCAAACAACCTGATTCCTACAATAAAATTAACTATATTATCACAATATATACATATAACAAAATTCTACTAACTACTCTTTAACAACTCCCACTTCTCCATCATCTATCTTCTCTCCCTCGTGTACTTTCAAATGGCTCTTCAGCATCTGCGAGTACTTAAAAGCCTTCCCGCAAACCCCACATTTATGTTTACACTCCCCTGTATGCGTAATCATATGAGTCTTCAAATGTTGGGGCTGCAGAAACTTCTTATCACAAACTGCACAAGCATAATTCCTGACACCCGTATGTTTCAGCATATGCATCTTCAGTCTACTGCCACATACAAAAGCGCTGTTGCACTCTTTGCAAGTGTAGGGCTTCTCCCCGGTGTGCTGGCGGACATGGACAGTGAGTTTGTAAGAGAACTTGAAGGCTTTGGAGCATATTGAACAGACATAAGGGCGTACGTTGGAGTGACAGCGTTTAATGTGACACCGTAGAGAATGGTTGACTCTGAATTTTTGACCGCAGTGTTCACAGGTGTGTTTTTTGTCCACTGCGTGGATGAGTGTGTGTGCGTGTAGGGTTTTACGTGTTTTATAAGACTTGCCACAGATTTTGCAGTCGTACTTTCTTTCATCAGAGTGGGATTCGAGGTGCTCCAGCAAAGTACGGCTTGAGGATAAGATGGAACCACACAACTGGCATAGATGGATCGGGTTGTCTGAAGGTGCAGAATGCTTTTTCATGTGTGTGTCTAAGTCGTGGGAAGTTTTATATTTTTTGGGGCATACAGTACAACTGTATGTATTGTTTGTAGAATCACTATCGATGTTGGTGTTTAAGTTTATCTCGTTGTCTTCAAAAGTAGCTTCTTGTTTTAAAAAACTTACAGGATCTATTGCTTTCACTTTACTCTTCTTAGTCTTTTTACTCTTGGAGCGTTTTCTAGGCTTGATTTCGACTTCTGTTTCAAAGTTATCAGTATCAAAACATTCTGATTTGACATCCAAGTCATCATTTTCGTTTTTAATATAAACACTTTGTATTTTATCTTTGAGTTTATCCAATTCTTGTAAAGAGTTTCGACACTTCGTCCAAAACTCGTAGGCCTTGTACAAGTCTCGAAGACACAAATCACAGATGTATTTGGGGTACTCGTCGTCTGGGGACACTTCGAGAGCTGTACAGGAGACAAACATTTTTAGAATTAAATTCTCATTTTCTGATAATTGTTTTTGTTCGATGAATAAACTTTGTAGGTTTTTGTCAGCTAAACAAGCCCGACATATTGGAGATGAATTAGAATCCGTGGTAATTAAGTTTGAGTTTGTTTTATCATTTTCTGTTAATATATTACTCATATTTATTATATTTGCTTGTGTTTAATGAAATAAACGTAAATGCAAGACAGCTGTCACCTGTCAATTGACATTTACTCGCGACGCCATAGAACGAACTGTCAACTGAATATAGATAGGACATCTAATGCTTATCAACAAAATACATATATAACAGGCTAGGTGTAAGTGGCATTTTTGCCATAAATAAAAGAAGAGTAGGTGGGGGATCGTTCAAGTATTACGTAAGCAGATTTATCACAATTATTTACCCCTCCCCACCCCTTTGTCAGCAAAAGTAAGCAAAAGTTCTTACTCAAAATAAGCAAATCAATAACCCCCCCGCCCCCCATAGTGCTTACGTAATACCATTGGCCTTTGGGGGCGTCCATTAATCACGTGAGGTTTTTAGGGGGATGGGAGGTTTGACAAAAAATCACGAAATATCACGTGGGGGAGGGAGGGATATAGTAAGATATATATCTTACTGATATCACTTGTATTTATTTTTAACTGATTTTTTAAAAAAAAATCAAATATTTTCAAAAAAAAAAATCAAAAATTTACAGTTTTACACGTAACTAAAAATACACGTTATGTTTGGTGGGGGAGTGTTGGTAATTTTGAATATCACCATGTATCATCAAGTGGGAGGGGGAGTCCAAAAATCCTTAAAAACTCGCTCACGTGATTAATGGACGCCCCCTTTATGCATGTGTAAATAATCGACTTAATCAATAAGAAATCAATGTATTAATTTATGAGTGATTTATAAATTTATTGAGTTACAGTAGGGTTGAGAAACCGGGATAAATTACCCCAAATGGGGTAAAAATTGATTTTATGGGGGTAAAAAATATATATTTATTTGATATTTATTGAATTTGCTACGTAGTCCGTATGGGGGTAGGAGTAATCTCTCTTCGCCATGGGTTTAATATCAATTTAGACTAAAATATTTTAGGGTCATGATTAAAAAAGTTTTTCGTCCGCTGCTGTAGGACAACTTCTAATGTTATAAACTATTCCAGATTATTCAATATTGTACCATTTTTTTACGCATCTATTCATTACGAACATGTCTCTAAGCCCTCATAGACCTTATATTGTATATAAGGTCTATGTAAGCCCTACATACTATACATACACGAAGTGTGTTTTATTAAAGCGCTGCCAACTTATAAAAAAATTATTAATTTTTTATAATTGAACCACTTTTCGTAGTACTATAATATTTTCACCAAGACCGGGTTCACTATCGTCATACAAAGATTCATTAAAATCGTCGAAAACAAAATGTTTAACATACAATTACGAAGAAACAATCTGGCCGATCTTTGTCAAAAACTAATCAGCAGGATTTCCAAAAGAAAGAACAGCTTTTGAATTTTTACAATGGATTCAAGATTTTGGGCTTAAACTTGAACAAAAAAAAATACATTTTCATTCTAATTACAAAAGATGGCTTGCGGTCCTTGTAGCGTTTCATCGAACAGCTTCCAAATTTTTGAAATCGGTCAAGCCGTTTTTGAGCAAAGTCGACGAAAGGTCAACTATTGGTGCATGGCATCGTCCCTTAAAGCCAATTGCTGTAAAATTGAAATTAAAAAAAAACTAATTTTTGAAAACTTGAAAAAAAAAGATTTTTGAGTTTCAAAATTTTTGAAAAAAAAGACTTTATTGAAAACATAGATTTTTTTTATCTAGGAATTTCTTCACTTTGAATTTTTCTGAAAATTTTAAATTTTTTTCAAAGCAATTTTGCTGCATGGATGTTTTAGAGAAGAAATATCGAAGCGCGTAAGCGCCGCATCGCAGTCTAACAGATAAACATTGGTACAGAACCATTATTATTAAAATCTTTATAAAATATCTAATAATTTTATGTGCATATGTCTAATGATCATTTTTGACCGCCAAATGACCTTTTTTCACCCCTTCTCTAAAATCTATAGACCTGCCGTACTAAAAATTTAAATGGTATTTCATTCTCTCAAAACAGATTGAATGTTTTTTGAATTTTACAAATCGGACGCTCCGTTCTCTCAAAAACTGAATTACCATTATTGGCTCTATTTGTCCTGTATCTTTAAAACGTCTAGACCTGCCTTTGCCAAAACCCAATCTGCACGTCTCCTTATCAATACGAATCGATTTTTTTATAATTTTTCAAATCGGTTAATCCGTGTTCCCGAAATCGTCGACGAAAATTTGTATCCGCACACACACACATACATTTTCCAAATTTTCAAGGTATCTTCAAAACGGATAGACCTGCCTTTGCCAAAAACTAATCAGCACGTCTCCTTATCAATAAGAATAGAATGCTTTTTGAATTATTCAAACCGGTTGATCCGTGTTCCCGAAATCGTCAACGAAAATTTGTATCCGCACACACACACATACATTTTCCAAATTTTTCTCATTCGATTCAAAAAACATAGAATTAGCAAAAGGGATTTTTCAAGAAGACAAACTTCTACTTCAAGAGTTATCAATTGCTAAAGCTAAAAAAATGATGTCGATTTACATAAACCTGTAAATTAATTTATTTAAAGGCATAATAATATTATCTAATAGTATATAACAGTTTAGACATGTACAAAATAATGTACTTTAAAAGTTTTGTACCTAAATTGGATATTTGGATCAAGTCACTTTCACAAATCATCTCTATTTTCAATTACTCAACTCTTGCCCCAAAATAGGAACCATAGTTCCCAAAGACTCCCTTTCGTGTAGTTTCATATGGTTTTTCAATATCTGTCTATACTTAAAAGCCTTTGGACAAATTTGGCATCGATAAGGGCACTCTCCAGTGTGTATCACCATGTGCGTTTTGACATGCTGGGGGTACTTAAAAGCTTTATCACAAACCGTACACTTGTACTTCCTCACACCTGTAATAAAACAATTCAAAACAATGTGCTGGTGCACCTAAATTTATGTGTCGTTACCTGTGTGTTTCAGCATGTGTAGTGTTAACCGGGAAGCGCTTGAAAAAGCCATTTCACACTCCTTGCAGGGAAAAGGACGTTCACCGGTGTGTATTCGGACGTGTATGACAAGCTCACCGTTGGAGTTGAAACTTTTGGAGCATACATGGCATTTGAAAGGCTTGGCGTTTATGTGGAGTCTTTTAATGTGGCATTGTAATAAATAGTTATTGGAAAACACTTTACCACATTTTTCACAAGCGAATTGTTTTGTTTGGTTGTGTGTTGCTTTGTGTATTTGTAAACCATCGTAAGTTTTATAAGTCTTAGGACATTTGTCACAATTGTAATTCCTGGTGTCGGAGTGGGATTCTAGGTGGGCTTTTATTTTGGAGGTGCATTTTAACTTTAAGCCACATACTTGGCACAAGAAACACTTAGGTTCCGTAGGAGGTTCTGAATGCGTTTGGGAATGTTTTCTTAACAAAATTTTATTATCAAATTTTTCACCACAAGTTGTACATGTGTGTGTTGGTTTGAGTTTGTGGATTTTTAACTCATGTCTGCGTAAAGACTTCTGAAGCTTGAAAGAAGCTTTACATATACTACAAATAAACAAAGAATTATCTTCATGGGTTATTTCTTTGTGTTCTTTCAATGCAAAACGAGATTTATATTGTTTAAAACATATTTCACACTCGTATACATCAGAATCTGCTTTGCAGACATGATTAATAAATTCATCCTCACTTACAAACTTGTATTTGCACTTGATGCACTTATCTAGACTTTTGGAAGCCTCTGCACCACTTGTTGATAATTTATGAACATTTATGTGTTCTATAAACATTGTCTTATTTCTAATTGACTTTTTACAACTTAAATTAGACTTGTTAGTTTGTCGTGAAGCTTTTATTGATTTGATTATATCCATTATTGGAACATCAGACTCTGAACCACTATCATCAATACAAGAATCTAAATTTCCTGCATCGCTTGTTGATGATTCATGTACTTTCATGTGTTTTGTGAGCATTGCCTTTGTTTTAAATGCCTTTCTACACACACTACAACTTATATTGGGCTTCTCAGTTTGTCGTAAAGCTGCCTTTGTGGATTTAATAATATCCATTATAGGAACATCAGACTCTGAACAACTATCATCCTGACTAACCGTTCTATCATGTATTTGTTGATGTGCTAAAAGACTTTGTGTCGATGCAAAACAGTTTCCACATACCGTACAAGTATATGATTCATTATTTTGTACACTATCAACTGTAGTGGCATTAGAGTCACCATCAAAATCATAACTAAGCAAATCATCTTTTAAATCTATCAAATCAAAACCGATGTTCAACTTCGCAAGTGAATCTTTACATTTATTCCAAAACTTGTAAGCATCGACTACCTGTTTAAGACAATCGTTACATATGTGCTTGGGATATTGGTCGTCTTGTGATATTTCAAGAGCCTTATAACAATTAAACATTTCCAAAATTGTATTCTCCTTCAAACATTGATTTTGTTCAGAATTAAAATTTGGTGTATTTCTAACCTCTAAAAATATTGATTGAAGATTTTTGTCAGATAAACAAGCTCGACACATATTTGGACTGTATTTTATAAAGGAATTAGTGTCATTTATTGAATTATTATCTGACACTGTGTTATTCATGCTTAATTAATATTTTATTTAATTATTTTTGATATTTTGTTTTGTTATTTGACAAGTTGTCAGACGCCATTTGTAGTGTTGCCAGATGCAATATTTTGATTGTCTTTGAATTTTGATTTGATTGAATTATTATAAATATTAAAAAAATAGGCGTAAGTGGCATTAATATTACTATTTATATAATATAATAAAAGCTAGTAAATATAAAGTATTACATTGGAGTACTATTTATTTATTTTTTTGACGTTTCAACATTCAAAATGGCGGACGTAAACAAGATAGGAGCCACTAAATTCTGATACGTGACAGATGGGTTTTGACGTTTAAAAAGCACCTACGCTCTGAAGTTGGCTCCGGGATAGAGCATAACTCTTCTTTTATGTATGGCATAACCTGTCATTTCGTGGAATATTTAGTCCCGCGTTCTTTTCTCATTTTTGTGATGGTATAGCGTCGCGTCGGTTTCGTTTCAAGTAAGCGTTTTATTATATTTTCTGCTTTTTCTTTTCGTGTAATTAGAATTCTTTCGTTCTGTTGCTATTTCTAATTCTGTTTATAACAGTTTTTTTCACATATTTCGGTTCGGTTTTTCGTTTTTTTGCTCTGGATCGCTTTCCTTGCGTTGCTTTTTTTGCTCTATTAGTAAGCTTCTTATTATAATTCATGCTTATTTTTCATATTTCATAGTTACAATAAGTGTTTTTTAGGATTTTTTACTTAGATTGCGTAAGTTTCTCTTTAGTTTAGTTACGTGTTTTTTTAGATTTTTACTTAGCTTGCGTAAGTTTATTTTTCGTTTCATATTTTTACTATTTAGATACTTACTTTTATTTCACTTTAGGTCACATTCTATTTTATAAGCTTATTTTTAGATTTTGCTCATTTACATTAGGTTACATTCTATTTTATAAGCTTATTTTTAGATTTTACTCATTATACATTTACTTTTTAGCTTCTAATTTTCTTTACGTTTTATTACCTTCATTACTTTTATTTTATATTTCACTTTATTACTTTACTTATGTAGCAACATGGACAGCGACTTTTTCTGTACCGAGTGTCAGATTCCATTCACAGCTCGTAGCTCCTTGTATCGCCACATAAGACAAAAACATGACAAAGAGCCAAGAGCTGTTTATCCCAATGCGTGTGCTTTCTGCCTTAAAACTTTTAAATTTAAATATTTATTAACTCGTCATGTGAGCCAAGTTCATAATAATATCCCTAACCCTTCACCTGCCCAATCTTCTTCGGTATCTTTTGAAGACATTACACACCTTTCCTCCTCCACTAAAACAAATATAAAGCATCCTTCTTTACCCACCTCATATACTACTACATGCTTGACATCACCTTACAATTTACGATCACCCACATCAGATCCTCTTCACAAACATCCCCACGTAAGTTTATTGCCGCATCCTTGCACTTCCTCTATTAAAGTTCAAATTCACACGCCTCCCATTCCCTGTTCCCCAATCAGTACTAAGGAAAATTTTACAGGTATGTAGTGCTTTTATATATGTACATTCATTTTATTTATTATTGTGTTACATATAAATCATTTTTGTAGGTACACCATCAAGGAAATCCAGAATAAGATGTCCACTCCCTCCCTGCTCCTCTGTTTTTTCTAGGTACACAGGTTTATACGATCATATTGAGTTTTATCACAAAACTACAATTGATTATGAACAGTTTGTGTTTCAAAACATTAAAGGTTTGAAGTCTTCTCTCTCATAATTTATAACCCCAATTACACAATTACCTACATTTTTGACTTTGTAGATTTTGAATTGTGGAAAACGGACATAGAGCGGAAAGAGTTTTCGCATTATGTAAAATGCAATTCAGGATATAAATCAAAAACTGATGACAAGACAATTTATTTCGATTGCCACAGGTCATATACAAATGACCAAAAACCCACTGTACGCTTGTTTACTAAAACGAGCAACAAAACCGGATATGCTTGCCCATCAAGGATTGGTTGTACTATTAATCACAATGGAACAGTTCATGTTGAATTTTGGAAGACATGTGGGACACAGTCAAGATATAAAATTTATTTCGTTAGATAAGAACCTGAAAGAACATATCAAGGGTAAATTTTTAATTGACTTGTATGATTATAAAACTAAATACATTTTTGTTTTATTAATAACTTCTACAAAAAATACGGTTTTTCGGTTGGTGGAAGTTATATAACAAGGTTTCTGTCCATACTTCCATTTAAATTTTAAAATTCAGTTTTCATTTATTGTTCGGTTTAACTTTGGTTTGGCTAATCATTTCTTCAAAATGCAATTTTTTTCTCTTTTTTATGTTTAATTTCAATGTTTATAGTTATTCTATATTATTTATATTTATTCTATATTATTTATATTTATTCTATATTATTTATTACATGTTTCCTGTGACATGCTTTATATTGTAAATAGTATGTGTATATATTTTGAATAAAAATATTTGATGAAATAAATAGATGGTTTTAATTGTGTTCCTTATTACCTATGTTAATCATTGTTAGAAAAAGTAATCAGATCACTTAAAGATAAAAATAGGCAAAAATATCGGACTGAACTTAAGTTTATTACATTACTATACATATGCTAGCATTTAATATATATATATATATATATATATATATATATATATATATATATATATACATGCATACATATGAGTTAAGTTCTAATAATCAGATGTTACATGCTACAAGACTCTTGTAGCTATTTTGATGTTCAGGCTGAAGTCCTAATCTTAATTCAGTGAACCCTACAATAGAATTAAAACACACTAAGCAAACAAAAACAACCTGAATAACATTTACCTGGGTAAATAAAATAACTACACTAAAACACTCTGCGAAGCCCTAATTAAAAATTTCCTAATAATTTCTAACAAAACTGTACTAGGTTTTGAATAACTATATGTTTGGTTCCCTGAAATAATATTGGTTGTGAAGAGACAATGTATGACCATGTAAATGTAAAAGAACCGCTTTCGTAAATAATTATATACTTACATTTGGGATTTCTATTTAACTGTCTAAAAGGTGTCTAAATGTGAGAGGTGAGAGACAATATAACAATGGGTGTACTATTTTGACGTTTGACAGTTTTGTTTTTTTGTTTGACAGTTTTGTTTGACGCACATAGGTTTTTTGTCTTTCAATGTTGTTACACTTTTTTTATTCTCGGTTGAGCGTCGTATGTTGGTATGACAAAGAAATGTGATATTATCATAAATTAGCTTCGTGTAAACAAGATCAAAAAGTAGCGAAAATTTAATTTGTTATTTGATGAATAATTATTATTCAAAATGAAATTTGAATTTTAAATTATCATATATTAATTACCAATAAAAAGTTTTTAATATTTTAATATTTTAACAAGTATTTTGTGTTATTTGTTTAGAAAACAATTTTTGTCCGCCATGTTGAACAGTTTGACAGTTCGTCAAAATGTCAAAATATTGATTTAACACAAAAATATTTATATATTCTATTTAAACTGAATATAATATCATAAAAAGTATGTCGTAGTCGATTTTAAATATCTGTTTTAATACAAATAAACATAAAAAATGTCTGAGGAAGCAGACCCACTGCCAGACAATGACACAATTAAAAGTGAACCCCCAGACGCCCTATTATTGAATAATCAAGAAGATAATAAAATAAATGAACAAAAGGATGTTAAAGAACCTTCTATTAACCCTGTTGAGACTTCGGTCAAACTTGAGGTAGATGACAACGTTATAGAAGAAGTGGTCCAACTTCCTTCCAAAGACAAACGCCATGTATGTGAATACTGCACTAGGGCTTTCAAACTAAGCGCAGATTTAAAAAGCCACATAATCACCCACACTCGTGAAAGGGCTTACAAATGCCAATACTGTGATAAAGTCTTCGCACGCTCCGGTTCTTTAAACGTGCACCTCAGAACCCACACCGGCAGCCGTCTTTACATATGCAAAACCTGTAACAAAGTATTCACACGTTCTGACACATTATCCAAACACATGGTTACGCACACCGAAGACAGGCCTTTCAAATGCGAAATGTGCGACAAGGCTTACATCCATGCAAGCAACTTACGGGAACACATGAACACACACACAGGGAAACGTCCGTATAAATGTGAGATATGCAATAAAGCATTTGCTCACTCGGGCACTTTAGGAAATCACTTAATCAATCACACAGGTCAAAGGAATTATTCGTGTGGGATGTGTGATAGAGCCTTCACGCAACCTGGGAATTTAAAGAAGCATATGGCAACGCACACGGGGGCTAGACCATTTAAATGTGAGACATGCAATAAAGCTTTTACTAGCAAGGATAATTTAGGACAACATATGATTACTCATACTGGTGAACGTCCTCATAAGTGTGATAAGTGTGATAAGTCGTTTACGCAGTCTGGTAATTTGAAGAGACACAAAGAGACTCATAAGAGCTAAAGGAAATTTATATAGATGTAGAAATAAAGGTGCTCCTTAATAGAATTACAATATTTTACTTTATAGACTGATTTATATGATATACGATGTTCCTAGTATTATATTAAAGTATTTATTTTGTTAATAAATTGTTAGAAGTAAGGACAAGCATTTTATTAACTAAATGTTAGTGGCATTTTACCTTACGGCATTTCTTGATATGTGTAATAATTAACTTAATCAACCGATATTAAGATTTAGCTATTTAGATAAAAAATTTAACTGTTTGCTGCAAAAATCAAGTTTTTGCTTTGACCAAAAACTAGCAATTTCCAATTGATATCTCTCAAACATATTTAGAAAATCTGTAATTATATCAATTATAGTGCACAAACACGTGCTTGTATGTCCTAAAAGCGACCATTATTCCAAATTTTATTAAATTTCCATAATTGAACCAATTTTTATAAGACTAAACAGTCCTTGAACTTCTTCACATTTTTTTAAAAAAATGAATGAAATATTTTGTGAAATATTGAGCATATGCTTTAAGAAAATACTGACACGATTACGTAACTCATGAGTACATAGTTCTTGTTATTATTTTATCATTTAAATTAATCTTCTATACTTATAAAAATAAGTCGGGTTTTCCTTCCTGACGAAATAACTCCAGAACCGATTTCGACAATTTCGCATTCGTTGGAAAGGTCTCGGGCTCCGCAAGGTTTATAGCTAAGAAAATTAGTGGTGCACGGCATTGTGCCCTAATGCAAATTGCTGAAACTTCACGCACCGTAATTAAAAATTCGAGTAATAAAAATAATCAATAATTGTTTTAAATAATTGCAAATAGATTATCTTCTATATATATAAAAATAAGTCGGGATTCCTTACTGATCAAATTTTTTCTTTTCAAATATAAAACAAACAAAAAATTTCTTCATCTTTCTCACGAAACCATCTGATGGCGAAACGGAGTTCGTCGGGTTTGCTAGTGATTATATATTATTACACAATTAGAAGTAGATAATTATTATTTAATTGCTGTGAACAATGCACAAATCCATCCACCGGTAGGTTTTGAGACAACTTTTAGGTGTCAATATACAAGTATTTACAGCTGGGTATCTAGACTTTCAGCTGGGTATCTCGAATTTCGAGATTTTTACCTAATAAGGAGAACCCGCGCGTTGCTCGTCTCGGATTTTGATGAAACTTGGCACAATGGTAGATTTGATGCACAAACTGACCGTGGTAAAATATTAGAGGCCTATGAAAAGCGATTAAGCTTAAATGACCGAACTACAATATAATGCACCAAACAAGAAGCAGCTAAAGAAATTTTTTTACTGCAAATGTCAGTACAGCCATTTACGGAAAAAATAAAGGATTCTTTTGCCCCAACCTGATATGTATAATTTTTTTTAAAAAAATTGTGGTCAAGTCTAGTCTAAGATGTTAATGTATCTAGGCCTCAACGCGTGACCAACTTCACAAGCAACTGTATGTCAACAACTGTCAACTCAAATGTCAAACTTGTTATTTTCTCCCAGACCTCAACATATGATTTGTAAATATAGAAATAAATAGTTTTTATTATATTCCATTTGCCAGGATTATCGAATTATAAAATTGCAATAAATATGTCGCAAGGGTTGATATAAATTAAATTTATTGGCTGTACATCTTTGTAAAAGCTCTAGTAGATACTCCATTGGGTGTAGCTACTAATTTGTAATCAACTTTATCATATAATTGATAGCTTAATGGTATAATATATACAGATTGCAGAATAAAATTGAATGAAATAAAAATATTTGTAAATATGTCAGAAAAGACTATAGACTTTCCAAAACTTGAATCACTAGAAGAATACTCAATCGAAGAGATTCAAAATGAGAAAGATGAAATTAAGTTGGAACCGTGTTCAGAAGATGAAGATTCAGCTTATAATCAGGAATTGGATCAGGAACGTCCCCATAAATGCGACGTTTGTAACAAATCTTACACAAAACTAAAGCACTTAACAGGTCATAAAGCCGTTCATAATCAAATAAAAGAGCACCAATGTACATATTGTCCGAAGGCTTTTACATACAAGGGTACTTTAACAAAGCATATCAGAACACATACCGGTGAAAAACCTTTTGTGTGCACAGCATGTGACAAAGCATTCAGTACAAAGATGAGCTTAAACGATCATCTTCGTATTCATACCGGGGAACAACCTTACAAATGCGGTATTTGTGACAGGGCATTCAATAAAAAAGTAAATTTAAGAAAACATAAGCTTGTTCATGCCGGACAACGTCCTCACGCATGTGAGATATGTAATGCCAGGTTCAGAGATGCAAGCACATTAAAAAGACATATGTTGACTCATAGTGAAGAAAGTACCCATAAATGTGAAATTTGTGATAAAAGTTTCAAAGAATCGAGACGTCTAGCAAGGCACATGCTTGTTCATAGCACAGAATTCTCTTTTAAATGTGAAACCTGTGATCAAACCTTCACTCGACAGGATAGTTTAAGGAGACACAAGATTAGGCATGGAGAAGCCGATTTCAAATGTGAAATATGTAACAAAGCATTTGCTGAAGTGAATTTATTCAATGTCCACATGCGTAGTCATACTGGAGACCTCCCGCATAAATGTTCAATATGCAGTCAAGGATTTGTACAAGAATCCAGATTAAAAGATCATATGCAATGTCACTCAGTAGAATAGATAAAAGCGGTTATACAAATGTAATAAACTAAAGAAAAGAACTTAGGTGCAATTGAATTGGAATTATGAGTAGCCCATAATTTATTACACCATTGCAAAAGTTAAATTATTTGTAAATAAATATATTTAAATACAAACACAGATAATATATTTATATTTAATTGGAGCAATTTATTATTATAGAACAGAACTATTACTTGTTCTTTTAGATGTTGCACTATGGATTTCTGGTAAAAGCAGAGTGTTAGTAGTGAAAATTAGAATAAGCCTTTCTATTTGCTGTGCTATCAGGCGTATTTTACATATAAACAAGCACTGACGAATGTTATGATAACTGCACCATGTAGAATTCTGTTATCATAACATTCATCCTTGCTTGTTGATATGTAAAATAGGCCTGATCGCACAGCAAATAGACATTTTCATAATTTTCACTACCAATAACAAGCATAAGATAGCGTTGCCATGACCACGCTATTTTATGAGCTCTTTTACGGCAGAATTGCCCCATATATTATGTTAAAGAAAAAAAAATTGTATTTTTATATGAAATTCAGGAATTTATTTAACATGCTTCAGATAGTCCAATTTTCAGCTCTTGGGCGATGTTACGACTGCTAACATGTCGGTCAACTTCGATCATTTCTCCGATTTTATCGACATTTTCGAAGACCGGCCTACCATTGCAAAGTGTATCTTCAACATCAAAAATTCCTGAACGGAATCTACAAAACTAAAATTGCACATAATTGGCTGTTACAGTCATATACTCTTCTTTTGTGAAATAGGACTGAAAAAAAACTGTAAAATGTACCGAATTTTCTCTTTGTTCACTTCCATTTTTAACACCCTGTAACTCACAATAGTCCAGTAAGTCTGTAAATACTTGTATATTGACACCCTAAAAATTGTCTCAAAACCTACATATGTTTGTACAACCCTACCATATGTAGGTTTTGAGACAACTTAATATTATTATGTATCATTTGTAAAATAAAACTAGTGGTGTGTATGGCATCGTGCCAAGGCAAATTGCTGTAACTTCCCGTACCGTAACGAAATGTTTGAGGAATATTAAATGTTTTTAAATAGATTATTATAAAAAAATACTGTAACAATTTTTTAAAGTTTAAATGCTCCGGTCTCTCAAAAACCCGATTTCTATTTTCTGCATTCTTTGCTTCGTATCTCCGTAACTACTGGACCTGCCTTTGCCAAAAACTAATCAGCACATCTCCCTATCAATAAGAATCGAATGTTTTTTGAACTATTCAAATCGGTTGATCCGTGCGCCCGAAAACGTGACTGGAAATTTGTATCCATACATACATACACACACACATCCATTTTTTCTGAGGTTTGCCTAAATGTTCAGAAACCTTCAAAACGTCGAGAAATGTAAAAATTTTCAATTTCAATTTTCGGCCCATTACAATAACTTACCCTACGAAAAGTTAAAAAAAAAATCCTATACTCTTCTATCTATGCACCCAACCATATGTAGTTTTTGAGACAACTTTTAGGTGTCAATATACAAGTATTTACATATTTACAGCTGGGTATCTCTAATTCCGAGATTCTTACCTAATTTAAGCTTTAATGACCAGGCTACAATATAATGCGCCAAACAAAAAGCAGCTAGAGAAGTTTTTTTTACTGCAAAATGTCATCTTTCCAACGAGCATAAATCTGAAATTGTTTGATTACGATAAATCTATTAGTACCGTCTAACAAAATATTATAGATTTCTTTTGACCCAACCTGATATTATGTACAATTAAAAAAAAATGGTCAAAATTGATTTAATTAATTACAGTAAAGTTTATTTATGTAGTCTAGTCTAAAGTGTTAATGTATCTATGCCTCAACGTGTGACCAACTTCACAAGCAAATGTATGTCAACAACTGTCATCTTAAATGTCAAACTTGTAGACTTTTTCTTAGCCTAATTATTTATTTTGTAAATGTAGAGATAAATAGCGTTTATTATATTACAATTATCAGTATTATCAAATTATGAAATTGCAATAAATAGAACGCAAGTGTTACAATAGATATATAATAAATTTATCTACCGTACGTCTGTGTTGTTATTTAAATATGTCGGAAGAGACTCCAGAGTATTCAATAGAAGAGAATCAAAATGAAGAGTCTGATATTAAGTCGGAACCGTGTTCCGAAGACGAAGAGGGAGTTTATTTGGAAGAGCTAAATAACCTTGAAGTAACAATGGATGAATCAGTAGATCAGGAATTGGATCTCAGGCGTCGCCATAAATGCGACATTTGTAACAAAACATTCACCAAACCATACCTATTAAAAAACCACAAAGTCATTCATAGCGAAATAAAAGAGTTCCAATGCACACATTGCCCAAGGGCCTTCAAACACGCAAGTAACTTAACATCTCATATCAGAACTCATACCGGTGAAAAGCCTTTCGTGTGCACCGCTTGTGATAAAGCCTTCAGTAGACACAATCACTTGATCCAACATCTTCGTATTCATACCGGAGAACAACCTTTCAAATGCAGCATTTGCAATAAAACATTCAATCGAAACGAGAATCTGAAAAAACATATGAATGTTCATACCGAAGAACGTCCTTACACCTGTGATATATGTAATGGCAGGTACAAAGATTCGGGCTCATTGGCGAGACATAAGACTTGTCATAGTGAAGAACGTTCACATAAATGTGAAATTTGTGATAAGAGATTCAAACAATCGAAGCATTTACAAACACATATGCTTGTTCATAGCACAGAACGTCCATTTAAATGTGAAATCTGTAACAAAACATTCAAACTGAAGGTCTGTTATAATATGCACAAGAATACACATGCAGAACCACGATTTAAATGTGAACTATGTGATAAAGCTTTTATTAGAGTGCATGCATTAAATGTACATATGCGTAGTCACAATGGAGATTTTCCACATAAATGTTCAATATGCAGTCGAGGATTTGGACAAGCGCAGAAGTTAGAACGTCATATGCTCTCTCATTCTGTAAAGTAATGTTAAATAAATAAGAAAAATATGTAATAAAAAGAAGAAGAAAGGAGTGCTAGCTATTATGTGAGAAATGAGTTACTTGTTATATAAAAGTTTATTTAATGATTATGTAAATAAACATAGTTAAATGCAAATATAGATAGCGTTTATACTTTATTGGAGTAATTTATTAACTTCCTGTAGAGTAAGTTTAGGGGGCGTTCATTAATCACATGATCGATTTTTTAAGGATTTTTTTACTCCTCCCCCCTTTAGAGATATTCAAAATTACCCCCCTCCTCCCCCTCACTAAACATTACGCGTATTTTTAGTCACGAGAAAAAATGGTAAAATTTTGTATTTTTTTGAAAATGTTTGGATTTTTTTAATAAAAATCTGATAAAAAAATAAACACACATGATATCTTCCTATACCTCTCCCTCCCCCATGTGACATTTTGTGATTTATTCCCTCCCCCTAAAAAGCCCACGTGATTGATGGACGCCCCCTTATAGTAATCGTCAAAAAATCGAAATTGACAGTTTTTAGATTTTTTTTTTGAAAATGTTATTGGATCGATGGATAGATTTTTTTTTCAAAAAATCAGGTATAAAATAAATACACGTGATATCTTACTATACCCCTTTGTACCCCCACGTGATATTTTGTGATTTTTTATCAAACGCCCCCTCCCCTTAAAAACTTCACTTGATTCATGGACGCCACCTTATGGTAATCGCCCAAGAATCAAAATTGTATTTTTTTTTTTTTTGATAATGTTATTGGATGGATTGATGGATCTTTTTAAAAAATTCAGATCCTCCCTCCTCCATAATATATTTTGTGATTTTTTGTAAAACACCTCCTCCCCCTAAAAGCCTCACGTAATTAATAAACGCCCCCTTATAGTGATCTCTAAAATTCGAAAATGAAAAATGTTGCATATCTTTACGTTTCAGAGGTTTCTGAACATTGTGGCATACCTCAGGAAAAATGGATGTGTGTGTGTATGTATGTATGTATGGATACAATTTTTTGTTCACGTTTTCAGGCGCACGGATCAACCGATTTGAATGGTTCAAAAAACATTCGATTTCTATTGATAGGGAGATGTGCTGATTAGTTTTTGGCAAAGGCAGGTCCAGCTGTTTCCGAGTTACGGAGCAAAGAGTGCAGAAAATACAAATCGAGCTTTTGAGAGAACGGAGCATCCGATTAGAATGATTAAAAAAACATTAAATATGTAATGATGGGGAGAAGTGGTGATTAGTTTTTGGCAAAGGCAGGTCCAGTCGTTTTGGAGATACGGTGCTAAATGTGCAAAAAATGGCAGTTTTTGAGAGAACTACGCATCCGATTTGAATGGTTCAAAACAACTTTTTGCTTGTGTTGTCGAAACGTTGTTTTTGGAAAGAAAAAAAATTTAATATTCCTTTTAATTTTCATTTTTTTTTTTTGAATATTGAAGATAATTCAGATTTTCAAAATTTCAATTCAGTACGGAAAGTTCTAGAAATTTTCCTCAAGGCACGATACCATACATACCATACACCACTAATTTCCAAATTTAGTCTAACTCGATTCAGAATGATTTGAAACGTCGAGAAAAAACATGAAGTTAGCAAATAGAATTTTTTTATGAAAACAAACTTCTAATAATTTATCTTATTGACGGAAACTTATACAAGCCTTATTTATATTGTATAAATTTTAGTTTGCATAAACGTAAACGAAAGGTTTTACACTTTTTTCCTAGTTACAAAGAAACTGCTCGGCTGATCGTCGCGCAAAATTGATAAAAAGACCTTATCGATTTTGGCTTTTAAAATTTTGAAATCAGTTCAGCCATATTTTAGAAAAAGTCGTTAAAAATCGGCTCACATACACACGCCCACACAAACTTTTTTCAAATTTGGTCTCATTCGATCCAGAATGACTTGATAGGTCGAGAATAAACATGAAGTTAGCAAATGGAATTTTTTGGCGAAAACAAACTTCTCCTTCGGGAAGTTAATAATTTATGTCATTACAGAAGTCTTATTAAAATTACATAAATTTCAGTTTGAATAATTGAATTGTAATTTTGTAAAAAAAAAATCAAAAAAAAAATGCATAAAAAATTTCAAATGTCAATGTTGGCACACTTTGGATATTTGACATAATAATACGACGCCATGTTTGACAGTTTTGACAGATGTCACATACAGTAGATAAAGTTGTTTATTATATTTGTTTTATTTATAAATTATAATTAAGTTTAAAGAAATAAAAATGAATAAAATATATATATTAAAAACTAAATATGATTACGAAAACATACAAAGATAAATGGATGGACGATTGTTATAGAAACAATTGATTGACAATGCATTGATTAACACAAAATGTCTTGATAAAAAAAAATTAAAATATGGCTCAAGAAACAGATTCTCTGTCACTACCAAAACATCTAGAAAATGTTCATAATATGAACAATGAAATGTCTCAACAAACAGATTCATTACATTTTAAAATAGAACCTCTAGATTATACAGAAGAAGACGAAAGTGGTGCTGAAAATTGTTCACAAGATGAATCAGAGACATATATTAGAGACCACCAAATAATCAAAGAAGAACACTATTCTGATCCCAAAGTTTCTGACAATTCTGAATCTCACAACTGTGAAACCTGCAGTAAGCCTTTTACCTCCTCTTCCAAATTGAAAGTTCACATGAGCACCCACAGACGCAATAAATCCTTCACATGCACGTATTGCCAGAAGGTGTTCAAGCGAGCAGATGCTCTAGCTGTACATATCAGAATACACACCGGTGAAAAGCCTTATTCCTGTGAAATATGCTCCCGTGCATTCTCCAGCACCAGCAACCTAATAAAACACCGACTTGTTCACACTGGTGAAAAAAGATTTGAATGTGAATTATGCCAAAAATCCTTTACTCGGATGAATAACTTAAAGCAACATATGATCACTCACTCCGGGGAACGTCCCTTTCAATGTAGCATATGTCCAAAGACCTTTACCAAACAAGGACATGTTTCTCAACACATGATTTCACATACCGGACAACGGTCTCATAAATGTGAAATATGTGGTAAAATGTTTGTGCGTTCAGAATCATTAAAAAATCATTCAAACATACACACCGGAGAGATGCCGTTTGAATGTGAAATTTGCAATAAGGCTTTCAGGCTTGCGACTAACTTAAAAAAACACATGGCCATTCATAGCTCAGAGAAGCCTTATAAGTGTGATAGATGTGATAAGGCTTTTACGAGAATGGAAGGTTTGAAGACCCATATGCACCATCATTTAGAGCAAAAACATTTTAAATGTGTAATATGCGAAAGGGAGTTTAGTTTGGAAAAGTATTTAAAGAAACACATGAAAATTCATATCGGGGACAGGAATTTTAAGTGTGATGTTTGTGATAGGGCTTTTGCACGACCAGACAATTTAAAACAACACATGAAAAGACATTTTACAGATTTTGAATGTGAGGTTTGTTTAATGAGGTTTACATCGTCAAATATGTTTACCAGGCATAAAAAAACACATAGTGATGAGAAGATTTTGATTAAAGATGAGAAATAGAAGTCTGAGGAATGATGGATACAATTTTTGTCCACGTTTTCGGGCGCACGGATCAACCGATATGAATGGTTCAAAAAACATTCCATTCCTATTGATAGAGAGATGTGCTGATTAGTTTTTGGCAAAGGCAAGTCCAACGGTTTCGGAGATACGGAGCAAAGAGTGCAGAAAATATAAATCGAGTTTTTGAGAGATCGGAGCGTCGGATTTGAATGATTGAAAAAACATTCAATTCGTGATGACGGGGAGAAGTGGTGATTGAATTTTGGCAAAGGCAGGTTCAGCCGTTTCGGAAATACCGAGCTAAATGTGCAAAAAACGGCAGTTTTTGAGAGAACTAAGCGTCCGATTGGAATGATTCAAAGAACTTTCTGCTTGTTTCAACAAAATAATTGCTTTTGGAAAGAAATTTAGTTTCAATTTTTTTCAGAATTTTTTTTTTTGTTTATTGAAAATAATTCAGATTTTAATTTAATTCTGACTAAAGTTCTAATATACTTTAAACAAATAATTTCAACTTTACAATTCAGTTTATATAATTCTTATAAATGTTAGACAATGTTACAGTATTTATTTATAATAATCTATTTGAAAACATTTAATATTCCTCGAACATTTGGCTATGGTACGGGAAGTTCTAGCAATTTGCCTTAAGGCACGATGCCATACACTCCGCTAGTTTATATTTATATTACTAAGAAACAAATGAAAAATTTCAGAATAAAGTTATTTGTTTTCATAAAAAAATTGAAGATCTTTGATTTTATAACAAAAATTTGCACTTAGTTAATCTGTGTTATTTAATTATATCTATCTCTTATATAAATATAAAACATATGAAATTAAACTCATGAAAAAAAAATTATGTATAAATGTAAAATTCTGATACAAATTAATTTTATTAGATACTAATGTAGAAAACTAAATTTATTGTAAATAAAGAACAAAAAATATAGAACTAATTTTAAAGAAGCTAAAGTTTTTTTCGGTATTCAATTTTCCAGAATTCAGTAGGTTTCGCCCCTGATTTAACAATTTGTGAACCCTTTCAATTGCATTTTTGTAGTCATGTGACTAACTAAACAAGTGCAATACAAAACGGAAAATTCACCATTTAATTAATTTATTAATTAATAAAATTTTAATGTTTTTTCGGTATATAACTTCCCAAAATTCAGTAGTTTTCGTCCCTGATTTAACAATTTGTGAACCCTTTCAATTGCATTTTGGTTGTCATGTGACTAACTAAACAAATGCAATACAAAACAAAAGATTTACCATTTAACTAATTTAATGATTAAAATCCTAGACAATATTAGAATCCCCCGTGTTCATATAGACGCTTCTCTCGCCCGATTTTTACGTTCAGAAGGAATACTTAAAGGGTCCTCCGCTCGACGTGGTGGCGCTGCTTTTGTCATTCAAATTAATGGCGCAAAATTTGAAATGAAAATTAATGAATTTTAGTACACGGGTATTTAAAACTAAATTTGGTATTACAATCCTATTATGTTTTGTAATAATGCAATAATAACAAAAATATACTAGATAATATTATATTATTATAAATATACAATCAAATCGAAATATAAATCAACAAATACACTGCAATACACCGGTTTATATATAATAGATATCACATCTAATCTACTGGAATAACTTCTACACTTTTTTCTACTTATTAATATAAATATTCAGTGAAATTTAGTGAATAATGCATTATAGTGTTAGTTCATTACATCGTCTGTCATTTTTAACTCTCATTAACTAGTAATCATCCCGTGCAAAATTTGACATTCTTAAGCAATTCATTTTTTCCCAAGTATATTCAGATCCGCGTGAAGTGGTAATCCAATATTAAACAGCTGGAACAGCTTTCTATTTGTGTATTATGTCTTTCTTGTAGAAGCGTATATTTGATTTCTTACACAATTTCCTAGAACTGATCTCTTTCCTTAAAGTGTATTATGATTAGACTAATATGTCAATGCACTACGTAGTATTGTAGTAATTATGTCCTCCATATGAGTTTGAAGCTGTTCTATTCATATTGTCAAAGGGCTATGCATTTGAGAGCAATTCCTGATGAAATCTTTATTAACAAATATACAAACACAAACGAAGAAGAATCGCCATTTTGTAAACTTATACAAAAATAACACTGACGTTTCTTAGTAACCAATATAAAACATTTGAAAATACTTTTTCATCGGCTCACTAGCGCCAAATCTGCGACTACAAATGGACCCCTAAGTATTCCTTCTGAACGAGGATTTTGTTCTAAGTGAAAAGGCCCTGATTAAAATGTTAACGTTTTTTTCGGTATACAATTTTCCAAAATTCTGTAGTTTTCGTCCCTGATCTTTAACATTTTGTGAACCCTTTCAACTACATTTTGGTAGTTATGTAACTAACTAAACAAGTGCAAGACAAAACAAAAGATTTACCATATAACTAATTTAATGATTAAAATGCTATTGTTTGTTTCGGTATACAATTTCCCAGAATTCAGTAGTTTTCATATGGTTTTCATAACTGATTTAACAATTTGTGAACCCTTTCAACTACATTTTGGTAGTCATGTGAACTAAATAAACAAGTGCAATAAAAAACAAAAGATTTACCATTTAACTAATTTAATGATTAAAATGCCAATGTTTTTTTAAGCAACCAATATTCCAGAACTCAGTAGTTTTCGTCCCTGATTTAACATTTTGTGAACCCTTTCAACTACATTTTGGTAGTCATGTGACTAAGTAAACAAGTGCAATACAAAACAGAAGATTCGCCATTTAATTAATTTATTAATTAATAAAATTTTAATGTTTTTTCGGTATAAAACTTCCCAAAATTCAGTAGTTTTCGTCCCTGATTTAACAATTTGTGAACCCTTTCAATTGCATTTTGGTAGTCTTGTGACTAACTAAATACGTGCAATACAAAACAAAAAAAAACCTAACTAATTTTATGATTAAAATGCTAATCTATTTTTCGGTATACAATGTCCCAGAATTCCGTGGGTCCTGATTTAACAATTTGTGAACCCTTTCTATTGCATTTTGGTAGTCTAATGTGACTAACTACACAATGTTGTTATTAACTTCCTTAAGTTATAGTAATGGGCCAACAGTTAAAGTTGAACATTTTTGCATATCTTTACGTTTCAGAGGTTTCTGAACATTTTGAAATATATCAGAAAAAATTGATGTGTGTATATGTGTGGATACAATTTTTAGCCTACGTTTTCGGGCGTGCCAATCATCCGAGATGAATGGTTCGAAAAACATTCTATTCCTATTAATAGGGAGATGTGGTGATTCGTTTTTGGAAAAGACAGGACCAGCCGTTTCGGAGATACGGAGCAAAGAGTGCAGAAAATAGAAATCCAGTCGGAGCATTCGATTTGAATGATCCAAAAACATTCAATTCGTGAAGACAAATGCCATATATCACTAGTTTAATATTATTCACGATTTATGTTATCAAATTTTTTAAATATTTTGAAACAATTTGTACTTCGCGCCATGAGCATTAAATTAATATTTTTAATGTTGGTATCGTCGCGGCCATGTTTGAAAGCGAAATGTCAAAATATTGATCCGACTTTTGCAACACTAATAATGTGATAAATAAATTGTAAAATTACCTAGTAAATTATGTGGGTCATATAAAAATCTCAATATTTATAATTAAAATGTCAAATGAAGAAACAATTGTGCCAAAAATCAAAACTGAACCGATTGAATATTCAATAGAAGAAATACAAGACGAGTATGATTGCGAAAAGGAGGTCTCGGATAATTTTGAAAGTATTAGATCTGAAAACCAAATCGAATCTCCTTTAGACCAAAATGTATCTTTTCTCGATCCCAAAGAGAAGTCTCGCACATGCGAATTCTGCAACAAAATTTTCAACCGCCCCGCAGACCTAAAAAGCCACATTGTCACCCACACCCGCGAAAGGCCATTCCTTTGTAAATTCTGCAACAAAACATTCGCACGATCAAGTTCCTTAAACGTCCACCTCAGAACCCACTTAGGCAAGAGACCCCATGTATGTAAAATATGCGATAAAGCCTTCACCAGATCCGATACTCTAAACGAACACATGGTTGTCCATGGGGCTGACCGTCCTCATAAATGTGACATATGTAACAAAGCCTTCGGTTTCAAAAGCAATCTGGTACAGCATATGAACACACACTCCGATGAACGGCCTTATAAATGTGACATATGTGATAAAGCATTCAATCAATCGGGGCATCTTAAAGAACACAAGCTCGTGCACACGGGTGAATGGGCTCATAAATGTGAAGTATGTGGTAAAACATTTGCACGACCTTATAATTTAAAGGAGCACATGATCACCCACACCGGGGATCGTGCTCACAGGTGTAAGTTGTGTGGTAAAGTATTTTCTTTTATGAGTAATTTAACAAGGCATATGAATATCCATAGTCGAGAACGTTCTTTTAAATGTGATATATGTGATAAAGAGTTTAGTCGAGCTAATACTTTAAAAGAGCACAAGATTACTCACACGGGGAAAAGGATTCATAAGTGTAGGACGTGTGATGATGTGTTTTCTTCATCGAGTAATTTGAAGAGACATCAGAAAGTTCATAGTGATAAGAAAGAGGAAACTAATTAATACAAAAAGACTTGCAAAACTAATTTAACAGTGATTCAGTTGAGTCATGGACATTAGTGCACTTTTTTATGTTAATTAAATACATTTGATGTTAATTTTATATGAATAAATATCAAGAAATCAAACAGAACCTCTTTATAATTACAACATTAAGATTTTATAATTATTTATTAATTAAAAGATCATTAACTTAAATTTTTGTTCTATTTGTTCAACATTTCCGGTATAGATGATCCGAGGTCCTACTTCAGGAACTATTAACAATAAAAAATCTATTACATATTTATTAGCTTATTTAATTAGTATAAAATTGAAAAAATTCACTTTTGGTCCCAAAAACAAGATAGTTCCCAAATCAAAAACTCAAAAAACATCAGAACATTACAAAAACTATATTAGAAAATTTGGTATATTTGTTTATCATCTATAATCTTTTTAGCTGTTTAATTTTCAATTAAAAATTGAACAAAAATGCTAATTTCTTACACCTAGTCTACCAGTTTTTTTATCTAATATAATAGCAATTGTGATGGCTGATAAGTTTGTAAGAAAATATTAATAATATTTATCATAATAGTCAATGTAATTCAAATATTATCTGCGATAGTTTTATTTCAATAATATAATGGCAATTGGTAATATCATTTGTTACCAATCACAGAGAATTTTTTAATAACATTAACTATTATGATAAATATTATTATTAATATCATCTCTTATAAAATTATCAGTCATCAATTTTACAATTGCCATTATATTGTTGAAATAAATCATAAGACATATGACATTTAATCAATCGGGAGAGTTCCACGATTGTCGGCAACGTTCGCTCAGCAAGTGACGTCACAATCCCTTCTATTTATACAATGGGAAACATATAAGGACTGGAGTCCATGTAATATAAGGTCTATGATAATGACCCATTTAATATCAATAAAAACAAGTATTTATAATCTCCGAGCAAATTATTCAGCTCCATATAATATATTTATATATTGAGAAAAATATTTTACATAATAAATAATACTTGATATAATAATATTTGTTTTTAAATAAAGTATCTAATATTCAATTTGCCGATGCATAGAAATTAACAAATTTTATATAAAACTTTGTTTATTTGTTATATAAATTTTGACTATTGTTGACCTAAAATTAGCTAATTTAATTTTTTGGTAAAAACATAAACTTTGATTTCCAAAAATCAAATTTTCATTTACATTTCTCTCTATTTACATGATAGATTCTTCACAATGCACTTTCATATGATTCTTCAGCATCTGTTGATACTTAAAAGCCTTCTCACAAATTTTACACTTATGTCTACACTCCCCCGTGTGCGTAACCATATGCACCCTCAAATGTTGTGGCTTCAAAAACCGTTTATCACAAACTTGACAAGTATAATTCCTTATACCCGTATGCTTCAACATATGCTCTTTCAGTCTCGAAGCACAAGTGAAAGCCATTGCACACTCTTGACACGCATAGGGCTTCTCACCTGTATGCTGCCGGACATGTTCAGTTAATTTGTAAGGAAATTTGAAAGCTTTAGAACAAAAATGACATATGAAAGGTTTCAGGTCTGAATGTCTGCGCTTTATATGACACATTAATTTATTCCTGACGAAAAACTTCTGACCGCAGTGTTCACAAGCGTGTTTTTTTTCTTCTGCATGGATTAGAGTGTGAGCGTATAAAGTTCTTTTGGTTTTGTACGACTTTCCACAAGTTTTGCAAGTGTATTTTCTTAAATCACCATGGGATTCTAAGTGCTCTTGTAGATTTCTGCCGGTGGTTAAGACTGCACCGCATAGTTGGCATAAATGTGGAGGTTTAGATGATGGTTTGGTGGAATGGGTTTTTAGGTGTGTTTTCAAATAAGATGCTGATTTGTAGATTTTGTTACATATAGTACACTCGTGTGAATCTTGGGACTCTTTTTTGATGTCATTATGAATGTTGTATTCACAGTTACTGGCATTGTCAATATCATCATGATAACTGTGATTAGAATGATTAGACTGTACGTCCAATTCCATAACATCATCTGATTCTTGTTTTACAACACCAGCAGTATCCTGGTCATCTTTAACTTCCTTAACTCTAGTCTTCGCGAAAACTTTTCTACTTAACTTTTTATGTACATTTTTCTTTTGCACATCCATGACAACTTGATCATCATCACAAACATTCCCATCAGCATCTTTTGGATCCCCTAAAGACTTAAATTCTTCTTTAATATAAACACTTTGTATTTTGCCTTTGAGTTTATCCAATTCCTGTAAAGAGTTTCGACACTTCGTCCAAAATTCGTAGGCCTTGTACAAGTCTCGAAGACACAAATCACAAATGTATTTGGGGTACTCGTCGTCTGGGGACACTTCGAGGGCTGTACAGGAGATGAACATTTTTAGAATTAAATTTTCATTTTCTGATAATTGTTTTTGTTCGGTGAATAAACTTTGCAGGTTTTGGTCAGCTAAACAAGCACGACAAATTGGGGATGAATTAGAATCCATTGTAATAAATTGATAACATTTTAATTCATAACTTTTATTTGAGTATTTGAATTCAATAATCGTGATCTGTCAAACTTCGAGTCCAAAGAACATGTTATTGTTTATATAAAGATGGGACTACTCTTGACAGATAAATTTTTGTATTTGCATCGATTTATAATAAAATACTTTAAATCACTTGCAAAGCTTTAAATTATTGTAATGAATAAAATTCAATAATTAGTATTCTTTTTTATTTATCTAATTATAGATTTATTATAATATTTCTTTTTCCTCAGTTCGCATGCGCATCTATACAGATCGCGTAGAAGCCCCTCTATGTTCTATGCATTTAACATGGCGCCGGCTTCTTAAAATGACGTATTAGAAAAAGTTTGTTTTTATTTATTTCTCAGAGCTATTTACATAAATATACAATCGAATAACGTTCCTTTATTACTACACAATTTAATCAGTATTTCATTTATTGTTCGAGTATACTATATACTCGGATATCTGTAATACGATGTGATGTGTTGTTTGCATAAAAGAAAGTAAAAAGCTGATCAAAAAGATTCACGATGAATAGTTTACTAGCCGAAATTGAAAAGGCTTATTTAAGCCACATCAATGTCAATGAGTTGGATTACAGCAAGATGTACAGCTCGGATATATGTCGGGCTTGTCTGGGGAGCAAAAACCTCCAGTCCCTCTTTACTCAGCAAAGTCACATAGCCGATGGCGAAAGTATTCTCCTCAAAATGTTTATTTCTTGTACAGCACTCGATGTCTCCCAAAACGACGACTACCCGAAATACATCTGTAATTCTTGCTTGGAGGATTTGTACAGGGCTTATGTGTTTTGGAAAAAATGTCGAAACTCTGTAGGAGAATTGGACAAACTAAGAGGTAAGACTCATACTGTATATATCAAAGAAGAGACTAATCCCTTCCCTGATGTTACGAGACTCGACATGGCTGATATCAAAGAGGAAGTCAACCCTTTGCTCTACGAAGTCGATGTCAATCTTGAAGAAGGCGGAGAGATTGATATGCTAAACCAACGCACCACCAGGAACAACAGTTCTCCTAAAAAAGTCACGCCGGTGAAGACTCCAGGTAGACGCGGTCGCAAACCTGGTTCAAAAAATAAGAAAACCAAGCCTAAAAAGTATGACAGTTCCTCTGATGAAGAGTTTTTGAGTGAGATTGTGTCAAAAAGCAAACCACAGCCTGAAGTAAAGGCACCAGAGATTGATAAAGATGATGATGACGGTCATGACGATAGAGATGATGATTTTGATGATAGAGACGAAGACTACAAACCTGAAGAAGAAGAAGAGTACGCTGAAACAAAAACCTCACCTGCTAAAGAAGTTTACGACGGTCTTAAATGTAACCAATGTGATAAGAAACTAGCAAGTGAGGAGGAAAGACTCAAACACATCTGCCGGAGCTTTGCATGCAAATATTGCAACAAGAAATTTGATACATATGACAAAAGGTACAAGCATTTACGAATACACACTCAGCCTCATAAATGTGAGTTATGTTTGAAGACTTACGCAACCTCAAATGCTTTAAAAGTCCATGAGCGTGTTCATACTGGTGAAAGACCATTCCCGTGCAACGTTTGTGGCAAGGCTTTCAAGACAAAAGGACATTTGGACAACCATTCCGTTCGGCACACCGGTGAACGTAAACATTTATGTATATATTGTGACAAAACATTTATTCGAAGTTCTCTCCTCAACAAGCATCTCAAGACCCACGAAGAGTACCAAGTTGACCCAAGGGATATCAAAGAAAAAGTACCTCCTGGGGAGAGAATCTTTTTGTGCCAAATCTGCGGCAGGACCCTCAAAACCCACAAAAATCTCCAACAACACATCATCAGTCATTCCGACTTTAGACCTTACGAGTGCAAAACCTGCAACAAGAGATTCAAATTCAAATCTAATCTACAAGTGCACGAGTTAACGCATGCCACAGAAAAGAAATTTGAGTGTGACCAATGTGGGGCCAAATTCTTGGTACGAGACTCCTTAAAATGCCATATCAAACGACGACACTCCAATGTCAGACCTTATGTTTGCAAAATATGTTCAAAAGGATTCAAATTCTCCTACAAACTCACTGTTCACGTACGACAGCACACCGGGGAGAAGCCTTATGCTTGTCAGGAATGCAGTATGGCATTTGTTTGTTCGAGCAGACTCAAGATGCACATGTTGAAACACACCGGTATAAGAAACTACTCGTGCCCGGTGTGTGATAAGAGATTCCTGATGCCGCAGCATGTAAAGACACATATGATAACACACACAGGTGAATGCAAACATAAATGTGAGATTTGTCAGCGGACATTTAGATATTCACAAATGTTGAAGAACCATATGAAGACGCATGGGGAGCCTCCAAGGGTGCAGATGACTGTAAATGTGTAATTGACTTGTAATTGATAAAAAGAAGAAGAGATAATCATGAAGTACGAGATCGGTGGAATCAATCTTGAATTTTATATATACAAATATATATTCCGCTGGTATTTCTCTCAATTACGGAAGTATTACAAGTATCAGCCCTAAGTAGTGAAGTAATTATTAATAATTATTAATTTTACATTATATCTGTTAAAGGATTGAAAACTAATTGAACATACAAAAATCTGAACGAATTATAAATATTTCTGGAACGGTGAAGAGTAAAAATTAAATGGCAATTTGAAATTATTTATTGTAATAGTTAATCATATTATGATTTAAGTTTTGATTATATTAAATATAATAAATGTATTGAAAAATTATCATAGGTTTTAATCATTTTCTATAAGGATCTCCTGATTATACTATTATATCAAATCAAAGGTATCTTTCTTATACTTCTGTAAGAGTCTTATAACCATTTTACATTTATAAGGCTTCTTATAAAAATAATCATAGCTTTTAATAATTTTGTTTTAAGGTATCTGTTCAAGACTTTTCATTATCATGTAATTTTTTATGCTTTCTTACACTTCTGTAAGAGCCTTGCAACCATTTTATATTGATAAGCCCTCTTGTAAAAATTATTATAGCTTTTAATAATTTTCTTATTCAGTATCCGTTCAAGACCTTTTATTCCCATTTCATTTCTGATGCTTTCTTACACTTCTGTAAGAGCCTTACAACCATTTTACATTTATAAGTCCTCTTATAAAAATTATCATAGTTTTTAATAACTTTCTAATAAGGAACTCTCGTATTAGAAATTTCTTTCCAGATGTATACAAAGTACTCGTTCAAGTCTTTTTAATACCATGTAATTTCTGATGCTCTCTTACACTTCTGTAAGAGCCTCACAACCATTTTACATTTATAAGGCCTCTTATAAAAATGTTCATAGCTTTTAATAAAAATCTTATAAGGAACTCGTTCAAGACTTTTTATTACCATGTAATTTCTGATGCTCTTTTACACTTCTGTAAGAGCCTTACAATCATTTTACATTTATAAGACCTCTTATAAAAATATTCATAGCTTGTAATAATTTCCTTATAAGGAACTCATGCATTTTAAATTTATACAAAGGTACTCGTTCAAGTCTTTTTAATACCATGTGATTTCTGATGCTTTCTGACACTTTAGTAAGAGTCTGGCAACCATTTTACATTTATAAGACCTCTTATAAAACTTATCATAGCTTTTAATAATTTTCTTATAAGGATCTCAGGGATTTTAAATTTGTACAAAGGTATCAATTCAAGACTTTTTATTACCATGCAATTTCTGATGCTTTCTTACACTTCTGTAAGAGCCTTACAACCATTTTACATTTATAAGACATCTTATAAAAATGATCATAGCTTTTAATCATTTTCTTATCAGAAGCTTGTGCGGTTTAAAATTCCTTTCAGATATGTACAAAGGTATCCGTTCAAGACTTTTTCTGATGCTTTTTTATACTTCTATGAGAGCCTTACAACCATTTTACGTTTATAAGGCCTCTTATAAAAATGATAGCTTTTAAAGATTTTCTTATGAGGAACTGCAATTCCTTTCAGATTTATACAAAAGTACTTAATCAAGTCTTTTTATTACCATGTGATTTCTGATGCTTCCTTACACTTCTGTAAGAGTCTTACAACTGATTTTATATTTATATAACCCTTTTCCACTCATGTATCTTCGAATACTCTATCCAAACAAACATCTTTCTGCAAATTCAACTCTTTGTACATCAGCATATGTTGTTTTAGCAAACCTATTCTAATAAACGCCTTAACATTCAAATTATGATTTATAATTATTTAAGTCTCCTTCCACAGCCATTTTGTTAACTCAAATTAAATTTCTATCGAATAGAATTTGGTTGGTTCAAATGCAGTCGAGTACATTGACACAGACATTAGGAAAAGCTTAACAAATGATTGGAAATGCAAAATTTATGTCGACATATATAATTACACCCTTTAGTATTATATATTTGTTAATTCATTAAACAATATGTATAATATTATTTCTAATTGTTAGTAACATAACCTCACTTACCTTGCACACAAATTTTTGTACTTGAATTCTATATTTTCCATTGATTGTTTAATTTTATTACTCACTATCACAATATTGTTCGCGTTCATTATTATGCACTAATCACTTTATTTTAAATATAAAAAATAAATATATAAATCACAATTTAAACAAGAACTGTCAACCATGTGTCGAAATTCAAATGTTGAAAACGATTTAAAACAAAATTATGAAACATGTCAATGTTTATAGATTGTTTAATATTATTATACACGAAATACAATATTATCGGCGTTTTTTATTATATACTATTTGTAATAAATTAAGCATTAAAATAAAATTTTAATACAAAACTGATATTTGTGCACAAGAACTGTCAACTGCCTAGACAATATAATTATGCTGGATACCAATTCAGATATCAATATTTATGAATTATGAAGCATTATTATTATTATTATTATTTTTTAAACACAATATTGTATGCGTTTATTATTATACACCAATTGTATTGAATTAAGTATAAAAATTCAATTTTAATATAAAACTGATTTTGTGCATAAGAGCCATGGGGGGTTATCTCTGAACAAATACGCTTTACCGTGTTTTGACATTGGGTATTGCCAAGCTTTGATTATAGATGGCTTACATTCGCTCAATTACAACAACGCTCGTTCGCGCATTTGACAGCCGTCGTACGAATGTGCCAATAACCTATATGTTGTTGCTAAATATTAAAAGTTCTAGTGAATATTTAATAAATAAATTTAGTGTGGTCACGTGCCAAGTTGTTTCAACTAATGAATATTGAATTGCACGTCTTAAGTGATGGCCAGGTATGTATGATGAGTTATATTTATTTATATAATGAAAATGTATAATAATAATACACGATGAAAATGTCAGAAGTCAAACACTTTTCAATCAATTCAAGAAAGCATCCTAAAGTTCATGTTCTCCGGAGCCTAAATATGCCGGATTTGTACTATATGAATGTATTTTAATAATAATTATTTTAGAACTTGGTATATCAATGTCAATTCATAAAAATGATGTAGAGGCAGTGGCAGATTGTCGAAGGAGAGTAATCTTACTTCAGGTAACTAAATACAAGTTGCTTATATATTTTATTTTGAATAATGTAGTTGTATCTTTAAATCAAGTATCTGTCTTTCTTGTAATAATTTATATAATAATATGCTTCTTGTTTAGGCTTCTTTGAGCTGTATTGAAGTGTGTGGATTAGACAAATCTCCTTTACGGGAATCATGAAAGAGTTTTCCTCTCACACAGTCACGACTAGGAGAGCATTCTGATGTAGAATCAGGCGATAATTCTGATAGAGGGTAAACAAAATAATCTAATAAAAAAACACGACAGTGTGCAAATCCAGAGAAAGGGCCAAGTAATTTTAATTCTAAAGACCATTTGCAAAGAAAATAAGTAAGGACATAATTCTTGCTTTGAAACTGTACAAAAAGTCTGCAAAGGTATCAAATGCATACATTTTTATTCTGTTTATTGAAAACACCTGGCTTTATAGTTTTTTTTATCTTTTATGGAAGTTTTAATGATAATGGATTCATCATGATCATAAAATGAGTAAATGTGATTTGATTGATTAGATAGCAAAGTAACTATTAAATGGAGAGATAATAAAGAAGAACATCTCGTAAATGAATTTTAATCCTAGGAATTTAGTTTTATCTCTATTTAGTTTCGAGGTTTATTTTGTTTGGGAAGTATTCGTTCTTTTTTAGAAATTTGCTGTTCTTTTTATTCTTTAAAATTTTTGCATTACTTGCCATTCCTTCTAAATTTGTAATTCCATCGTCAATACTCTTGCGCTTTTCACTTCTTAGTTTTTAAGTTTTTAATATATTATTATTAGTCATTAAGTAATTAATATTAATATCGTTAATTAATATTAATAAGTTACTTTTCTTTAGTTTGTAGTACTTTAAAAATATGTTTGTAATATACTTTAATTAATAGTAGTCAGTTATTTCTGTTTAGTTTATATTTCTTCCAAAATATATCTGTGATATATTTGAAAATATATTTTGTATTTCGTATGTTTTGTTCTTATTTCAAATATTAAAATTTTTTTAGATTTTTTGGCTGTAATGATTATATGTACAAATGTAGAAGTAATACCAGGGGTTAATTTACAAAATGAACATGTGCTGCCATCAATAATCTTAGCTCCGCACTTCAATCGATGAAACGTCAAATCGCCCGACATAGCTATCTATTTATACTTGTTTATCTATGATAAGAGCTGCGACAACTTCATGGACTATATAATTATGCTGGATACCACCATTCAAATGTTGAAATTGATTTAAAACAAATATTTTAAATTTTCGTGAATATTTCTTAAACTAGTGGTATATGGCACGATCTTAAGGCAAATTGCTGGAACTTCCCTTACCTAATTTCTCCTTACCGAAAATTAAAATTTCTTTAAAAATTAAACAAAATCTTTTGAGAAAAATGGATTTTTGAGAATTTTGAATTTGTTGGAAAAATAATGAGATTTTCCTTTTTTTTGTATATTCCAAAACTTTAGAACTTTTTTTAAAACAATCGCGCTGCGTAGTTGTTTTAGAGACAAAACATCAAAGACAATCCACAACATTTTATAAGACAATCAACAATATTTTCAGTCAGTTTAAAACGTTTTCAGATTTTTCACTATATTTCCAAAAGACTTACGAGAAATTCAAACTATCTACAATTTTTTTGAACAATTCACAGCATTTTCAGGCAATCTACAACATTTTCGACAAACTCGCAACATTTTAAGACAACTTAGAATATTTTCAGACAAAATTTTGAAAATGTACAACATTTTTAAATAATTGACATCATTTTCATACTAGATATAACATTTTCTACAAGTTACAGCACTTTCAGACAATCTACAATATTTTCGTACAAAATACAACATTTTCAAATTAGTTACAACATTTTCAGACAATCTACAATATTTTCAGAGAAGTTACAACATTTTCAGGCAATCCACAACATTTTTAGACAATACACAACATTTTCATACAATCTACAATATTTCCAGACATTCGCTAAAATTTTTAGACAATCTACAATATTTTCAGACCATCTACAACATCTTCAGGTAATCTACAACATTTTCAGACAAGTTACAACTTTTTCAAACAGTTTTGTTTGAATTGTTTTTCAGACAATCCACAACATTTTCAGATAATTTACACCATTTTAGACAATCTACAATAATTTTCAGACTAGTTACAACATTTTCAGGCAAGTTACAACATATTAAGACAAGTTACAATATTTTCAGACAATCTACTACATTTTCAGACAAGTTACAACATTTCCAAGAAATTTACAATGTTCACAAGAGATTATTCATAATATTTTCAGAAAATTTACAAGAATTTCAGACAATCTCTAAAATTTTTAAACAATCTACAATGTTTCCAGACCATCTACAACATTTTTAGACAATCTATAACATTTTCAGATAATTTACACAATTTTCAGAAAATCTACAATATATTTTTAAACAATTTACAACATTTTCAGAAAATCCACAACATTTTCAGCCAATCCACGACAATTTTCAGACAATTTACAACATTTTCAGACAATCTACAACAATTCTCAGACAAGTTACTACATTTTCAGACAAATTTCAACGCTTTCATATATTCCACAAGATTTTCAGACAATCTACAACAATTTTCAGACTAGTTACAACATTTTCATGAAAAATTTAATCATCAAATTGTTCTTAAATAAAAACAAATCATCCCAGACATATATTTTATTATTAAACTTTAAATTTAACAATATTGATTTATTTTTTTTACCATTAAATAAAACCAGTCCATTTTAAACCCTCTCTATATATATACTTTGTATCATTAATAAACACCATTAATAAATAATAAATACATTTTTAGTAAATAAAATATCGTGGGTAGTACTGCCCTTGGGCAGGTACATGAGCTGAGTTAAACTCCAACTCGATTTAGGGGAGAATAGTGTGAGTGATTTCCCATTGTCATTGAAATAGACTAATTTCAAGTGAAAATTGATATCATTACTGCATGATATCAGAATACCCAGAGCAGGGGTTCGAACTCATAATAATCAAGTCCACACAAGGCAGTGTGCTCAACCGTTGCACTATGGAACATCCATAACCATTACATAATAGTAAATAGTAGTCTGCCCGGAAGCACCACAAAATCAATGATTTTCTTTCCCTCCGTTTTTTATTATTACCATTACCGTTTTATTACCATTGATTATACACCATTAGTCACTTTATATTCGTTTTTACGAATTTTCCTTGCCAAACTTGTGCTTCCATGCTTCCTGATCCTGTGCTTCGCTTTTCAGTTCCCTGTATTTCCACGTTCCTCTTCCTCCCAATCCTTTCAAAGCTTCTATTTTGCCTTCGACGACGTCATGCAGGAGGCATTCTTTTTGCAGAATGGGTCCGATCCAGTTTCCTTTTTTTTTCAGGATCGTGGTCAGTAGTAAACTCTAACTATTATAGACTCATTTATCTTATTATTACACTTATTTTAACCCTTTCCACTCCACAGGGTTAAAACTGTTCATTAGTAATAATGATTTTATTAAAAATATTTCAGGTACTCTAAATTTTTACTTAATACGCAGAGCGTTAATTGTTTTTTCATAATCAATTTTTTTTCATAATTCAAAAGCCTCCGGATAGGATTGTCAATTAAATTAACCCTTTCCACTCGCGAATTGCGAGATTTATATGTATTTTGTCGTCGGAGCGGCGGCATCCGAGTGGAAAGGGTTGAAATATACATGATAATATAAATAATACATTTAAAGAAAAGAATTTAAAGGAAAGAAATAGAAACTTGAGATAAATAATTTTTTTAATTTTGCAATTCTTAGAAATATGAAATAAGATCCGATTGAGTTTTGTTCATTCACTTTTTATGTAAACTTATATGAACCTCATCATCCAATTTATAAGCTCTTATATTTTGTCTATAAAATATGAACAATATGAATATTAATAATGAATTATTTGAAAACATTTAATATTCTTCGAGTATTTCATTACTGAACAGAAGGTTCCAACTATTTCATAATTCAAAAGCCTCCGGGCAAGATTGTCAATTAATTTAAAATATACATGATAATATAAATAATACATTTAAAGAAATAGAAACTTGAGATAAATAATTTTAATTTTGCAAATTCTTAGAAATATGAGATAAGATCTGATTAAGTTTTGTTCATTCACTTTTTATGTAAACTTATATGAACCTCATCGTCCAATTTATAAGCTCTTATATTTTGTCTATAAAATACGAACAATATGAATATTAATAATGAAATATCTGAAAACATTTAATATGCTTCGAATATTTCATTACTGAACAGTAGGTTTCAGCTATTTCATAATTCAAAAGCCTCCGGACAGGATTGTCAATTAAATTAAAATATACATGATAATATAAATAATACATTTAAAGAAATAGAAACTTGAGATACATAATTTTAATTTTGCAATTCTTAGAAATATGAGATAAGATCCTCCCTTTAAGTTTTGTTCATTGTAAACTTATATAAACCTCATCGTCCAATTTATAAGATCTTATATATTGTCTATAAAATATGAACAATATGAATATTTGTAATGAAATATTTGAAAATATTTAATATTTTTCGAATATTTTATTACAGAACAATGACTTCTAGCTATTTCATAATTCAAAAGCCTCCGGACAGGATTGTCAATCAATTTAAAATATACATGATAATATAAATAATATATTTGAAGAAATAGAAACTTGATATAAATGATTTTAATTTTGCAATTCTTAGAAATATGAGAGAAAACCCCATAAAGTTTTGTTCACTCACTTTTTATGTAAACTTATATAAACCTCATAGTCCAATTCATAAGCTCTTATATTTTGTCTATAAAATATGAACAATATAAATATTTATAATGAAATATTTGAAAATATTTAATATTCTTAGAATATTTTATTACTGGACAGGAGGTTTCAGCTATTTCATAATTGAAAAGCCTCCGGACAGGATTGTCAATTAATTTAAAATGTACATGATAATGTAAATAATATTTAAAGAAATAGAAACTTGATATAAATTATTTCAATTTTGCAATTCTTAGAAATATGAGATAAGATTCTTCATTATAACTCCATTTAAGTTTTGTTCATTATAAACTTATATAAACCTCATCGTCCAATTTATAAGCTCTTATATTTTGTCAATAAAATATGAACAAAATGAATATTTATAATAAAATATTTGGAAACATTTAATATTCTTCAAATATTTCATTACTGAACAGGAGGTTCCTGCTACTTCATAATTCAAAAGCCCCCCGGACAGAATTATCCTTACATAAACCTCATTGTCCAATTTATAAGCTCTTATATTTTGTCTATAAAATATGAACAATATGAATATTTATAATAAAATATTTGAAAACATTTAATATTCTTCGAATATTTCCTTACTGAGCAAGAGGATTATGAATTAATTTAAAATATATGTCATAATATAAATAATACATTTAATAAAATAATCTTATACTCAACAAAATAACGCTTATATCTTATATAATACTTTTTCTTAATTGTTTCAATAATTTTATCACATTTATCAATTACAACTATTTATACTAGGGCTCTCTAAATGTACAATTTTATTATCTATTACCATCTCCGGGCTCTCTAAAGATCCAATTTCATTATCTATTACCATCTCCGGGTTCTCTAAATGTCCAATTCCATTATTTATTACCATCTCCGGTTTCTTTTTATTATGTGTAATATAATGTTTCGTAAGGTACCCGGATCGTTTAAAAGCCTTATTACATATTTCACATGTAAACGGGCGTTCCTCCGTATGTATTAACATATGCTTCGACAAATTACTAGCCATCGAAAAGCCTTTATCACATATTGTACATATATAAGACTTTTCCCCCGTATGAGTCCTGTGATGCAAAGCCAGAGTACTCTGTCTCGCAAACGCTTTCTCACAATACAAGCACGGAAAAGGCTTAGCCCCCGTGTGAATACGCAAGTGACACTTCAAATCCCCTGAACGAACAAAGGCTTTAGTACACACCTCACACACATAAGGCTTCTCACCTGAATGAGTCCTGAAGTGGATGAGTAAACTACTGTGTTGCGAGAAAGACTTCTCGCAGCAGTTGCATTTGAAAGGCTTGATACCCGTGTGCACCACTTGGTGTCTTTCGACTTTACAATATGATGTGAAGGCTTTACCACATGTCTCACATGCAAAGGATCGTTTAGGGCCTTTTGTGGGGAGCACTAACTGTTCGGATTCTTCATCTATCGTTACTTCACATTTTATTAATAAGTCGACAGATTTGTCCTCGTCACCTGAAGCATCTTTAGATGAATTGTCGTCGTTGGTAAAAGAAGTTTCATTTGTTGCACTTTCTAAAGGTGAAAGTTTTGGTTCCACATCATTTGGAATTGCGTTCACTTCGTCGGACATTTTGGATGTAAAATTATTACTAGATTTTCAGAAACTTCTAAATTACACAAATCGATGTTTGGAAAACGTTTTTATTATTTAAATTACATAATTAATTGATTTATTTAGTTTTGACTACATCTTTGACATCTACCTTGAACTGTCAAATTATTCAAAATGGCGCATACGAGGCCATTACCAATACCAACATTCCAAATACAAATTTTTAATTTAAAAAAATTCAAAATGTTTAAAAAAAAATTTAAAAAAAAACGTGCGCGTAAGGTTCTCACACGATTGAAGTAAAACTTATTTGCATCAAGCCATTTATTTGATAAATAAGCTAAAATTAGTGCATTTATTAGTGTCAACTATTACACACATTTATACATTCAAATATGACATGGCGGTTTGTCCTTGTAATTAGCATTTAGAAATGAACCTTCATATTATCGATAAATGAAGTTCTTGATTACCTTCATTAAATAAATGAATTGCTGATTAATAAATTCTTTAATATTTGTTCACACAGTAAATTATGTTAAACAACGCCTGAACAAATATTGTTTTTGCATTTCGCTCATCATGTAATTGTGTTTGAAGAACTTCATGTAATTAAAATCAGCATACATTCATTGACTGCTTGTATTTTTTTTTTACTTTTTTGCTGGCGATATAATCTCACTCTTTGAACAGCTGTAATATCTGTCTTGCCTAAAAAATATTTTCCATTTTAATAACTTCAAAGATTTATAGAAACTACGAATGAAATATAAATAATTTTTAATCAATAAACTTATGTTTAGTACACGGCCGAAATGTTTAATTTGTTTTATTATTTTCAAGGAACAGAGTAAAATATTCTTTTGATCCAGGCATTTTTCATTAAATCAAGATTTGTACTACGATGTAACTTTAAAATGTTTATTTATCTATGCCGATTTCCTTGTTGATATCGGTACGCATACAACGTTGATGCCGGTACGCATACAACGACAGAATTCTATTCACATACACGACGACTAATCACAATCGACCCGTGATGAAAGAAATGATCTCATCCAGAGCGAATGACAAACAGTTCGGGCTTAACGGACTTCCGTTGCATTTTCACGGATTTACACCCTAGTCGCGCCTAATGAAGTTTCACTTTAAAAAAATATAAGTTAACTAGGTGTAAGTGTCGTTTCCTCATGTATAAGTTTATTAATAAGTAATCAATATAATAAGTTACGAATGATTTATATAAGTATGTCGAGTTGCTTTAAAGTTCATTTTTATGATGTTAGAAACTATTGCAGATTATTCAATTTTGTACAAAAAAAGTTACAAATTTTAAAATTTTACTTCATTATTCTTTTTCTAGCCAAATGGCATAAAAGCACAATCTAAACTTTTTTGAAGTAAAACTTCTTTAGATTCGTTTACTACAGATTCATGCAAAGAAATCGCATATTTTTGATAACAATTTAATTTTTTTTTCAGTATTCGTATTCTATTCAAAAAAACCTTTCGAATGATACCCCACATGGCATAAAAGCACAATCTAAAATTTTTTGAAGTAAAACTTCTTTAGATTCGTTTAGTACAATTTCATGCAAAGAAATCGCATATTTTTTATAGCAATTTAATTTTATTTCAGTATTCGAATTCTATTCAAAAAGACCTTTCAAATGATACCCCTCATGCTAAAAAAACACGACCTAAAATTTTTCGAAGTAAAACTTCTATAGAACCGCTTACTACAGATGCATGCCAAGAAATTGCATATTTTTGGTAACAATCTAAATTTTATTTCAGTATTGGAATTTCATTCAAAAAGGCCTTTCAAATGATACCCCTCATGCTAAAAAAACACGACCTTAAATTTTTTGAAGTAAAACTTCTTTAAATTCGTTTACTATAAATTCGTGTCTTAAACAGATTTTAATATATTTCATACAAAGAATTAACATATTTGCAATTAAAATTTGGTGATATTTATCAGATTTTAATTGATATAATTTTTTATAAACTAGGTGTCAGTGGCATTTAGATTCATGCAAAGAAAATGCTTATTTTTGATAACAATCTAAATTTTATTTCTGTATTCGAATTCTATTCAAGAAGATCTTTCAAATGATACCCCACATGGCATAAAATCACATTCTAAAATTTTTTGAAGTAAAACTTCTTTAGACTTGTTTACTACAGATTCATTCAACGGAGTACTAGATACCATCATTGACTTGAAACAATAATTATAGCCTTACATTTATTTCTATTAAGAATAATTGCATTGAAATATAACTGTATTTACATCATTACAGAATAAATAAAATAAATACTACACTTATCTCATCCAACATTTATCTATATATTAATATCATTGTAAAATAATTTGGCAACGATGAAACTTATGTGTCCATTCCCACCGGTTCCTCATGCTCAGCAAAATGTTTTACTGCAACACTTTTCTTGCTAAATTTTTTATCACATAAAGAGCATTCATAAACAGCTTTTTCACCATGCACCGCCATATGGCCCCTCAACCTTGAAGAGCTTACAAAACTCATGCTGCACTGCGTGCAGGAATAAGGCTTCTCGTTATTGTGTTGCCTCAAATGGATTTTAAGTCTTCCTGAGAACTTAAAAGACTTCGTACAAATCTCACAAACATAAGGCCGGTCATCTGAGTGATGTATTTTTATATGAGCGCTTCTATTACCCCAGGTTTTACATTTCTTACCACAGAATTGACATTCGTATTTGTTGTCTTGGGAGTGTATCACCATGTGCCCCCTTAAATAACCTTTGGATTTAAATTCTTTGTTGCAAACCGGACAAGCGTACTTTTCAGTGCCCATGTGTATGGTTTGAAGGTGTTCTTGCAATGATTTGTGGGTAGTATATGTTACTCCACATTCTGGACACAAATAAGGTGGAAACACACCATCGATTTCAGGGTGCTGCTTTAAATGATGTTTCAACTGCGAGTACTTATTAAAACCTTCATCACAAACCGGACAAGAATGTTTATGCTCAACCCCATGATCTAATTTATGTGTATTCAACGCACTACGGTGTTTAAAACTCTGGTTGCATATTGTACATCTAAAAGGCTGTTCTGAATTGTGTGACCTTCTATGTGCTTCGAGACTTAGGGGGTAAATGAACGTCCTGGGACACTTCTCACACATATAGGGCCTCAAATCTTTGTGAAATTCGAGTATGTGTTTTTGTTTATCTGCACCGGTCTCAAATTTTGCACCACAATGTCTACAAACTATTTCTTTGGGAGTAAGGTTTCTACAAATGTGTTTTAAAGCATGATCTTGGTTTATGAACCTTATTTTGCATATAAGACAACGATTTGGTCTAGCCCCGGGTTCAGGAGTCTTGGTAATAGACTCGTCTATGATAATATCATCTAGTGGGTCGTTGTTAGGAGATTTCTCATTCTGTGTGTTAGTTTTATTTGTTTTAGGCCGTCTACAAACGTGTTTTAAAGCATGCTCACGAGAATAAAGTATAATTTTACAATTGGGACAACGTCTTTTGACATATTTTTTTAAGGACTTGACGTTTATTGACATACCTTCGTTTGCGAGGAATATGTTTGTTAATACGTACTGCAACAGGAGCAATGTCTTTAGTCTCATTTTGCTCGTTTACCACAACATATTCAAAACTTGGTGGTAAATCCCCTTCAAGTTCCTCCTTTTTCTTATCTAAAACAACAAAACTATCATCAACTACATCATTACTTATTTGCTTAGATTCTGACTCGTTTTTAAGGCTATTTTGAACCAGTTTATTCAGTATATCAACAGACTCTCTACACTTTTTCCAAAACTCGTTGAGCCTCAATAACTCCTCAAGACAGTTGTGACAAATATGTTTCGGGTACTGGTCGTCCCAAGAGGCTTCTAGGCCTGTGCATAAGACAAAAATATTTAAAATAGTGTTCCCGGCGTCGAAACAACCGTCTTGTTCAATAAATAGTGGAAGTAACTTTTGATCCGACAGACAGGCGCGACATAAGTCATCTTCAAAATATTGGGAAAATTTATTTTCCTCTAAGTCTACATCTTCGTAATTTTCTTCCATTTTAAAAGAATAATTTCATGATAACACTCAATATATTTATTGTTTAACCTAAGATTGATTTTGACAGCCGGCCATGTTTGATTTTCGATAGGACATTTTTTATTTAGTGTTGCCAGAGGAAGACTAAGAGAAAAGACATGAAAAAATGGCGGCGCGAGATTTGAATATAAAAATTTAAATAGAAACATTATGAAACGAAAGAAAAAAAACTAAATAAGAAATTAATTCCCTTTCTTTTTTCGATGTTTCTTACTCTCAAAAACTGCCATTTTTTGCACATTTAGCTCAGTATCTCCGAAACAACTTTTGCTAAAAACTAATCAGCACGTCCCCTTATCAATCAAAATGGAAATTTTTTGAATAATTCAAATCGGTTGACGAATGCTCTGAAAACGTCGACGAAAAATTGTGTCCATACATACACACACATTCATTTTTTGTAAGGTATGCCAAAAAGTTCAGAAGGCTTTAAAAGGTAAAGGTATATAAACATTTTTATTTTCGATAATAGTAATTATAAATATTTAACCAATTAATCTAGATTATTATAAAATTATATTAATGTTGCTAATATATTTCTCTTTTATCTTTCAGGTGAGTTCCAAAATAATAATCTCTGAGCGAAGACATTCCAAACCACTTGGTAATTAATAAAGACCCAAATTTACTTACAGTATTGTAATTATAAATTAATATATAACATTATATTGTATACACTAACGTTGTTGTCATAAAAAATGTTTCCGGAACAATTTTAGTATGAAATTTAACTAACTGATTATGAACGGGTTTTACCCGAATTTGCAAAGCATGCCACATATAAATGTTCATGAGGCATATTGATAGTCCTTGCTAGTGCCAGACTAATTTGAAACTGATGATTTCATTTAAATGCACCTAGAATTGGAATATTGAATGAGATTTAAAGAAACTTTGTAAAAAAATACAGCTTTACCATATCCAGTAAACACCGAGCGGCGGTAGCAATCTGAAATCCACATTAATTCCACATAGATATCACAGCGCTGAAGGCAAGCTTGTGGATTTCAGATTAAAACCGCCGCTCAGGTCACATGATGTTCACTGGGTAGGTTTATTATATGGTACCCAAGTTTTTTTTAAAAGTTGTTGAATATTCAGATTTTATTATTCGTTTATTTTCAATTTTCCATTGAAAATAAAATAAAATAGAGAAACGTTATCTCAAAATTTGAAAAAAGTGTTAGGGGTCAACGACAACGGCGTCCATTAATCACATGATCGATTTTTTAAGGATTTTTGGAGATATTTGATTTGATTCCACTCTATTTTTGAGGATTTTTGGAGATATTTGATGGATATTTGCAATTTTATTATCAAGTAGTTGCAAAAACCCAGTTTATGTCTTTATTTTTTAAAAAACTGGGACAAAAGATCGGGATAAATATTGCTTTTAGGCAAATCTGGGACACAAGGTAGTAATCCGGGACTGCCCCGGAAATACATGAGACAAGAATGAAATGTGTGTATCGAAATGTAAAAATGTAAAACTAATTTTTGGGTTTAATTTTTTTATTAGAAATTGGAGACATTATATAACCTTCAAATTTTTATATATATACATACATATATACATTTCTTTGGTCTTTTGGTCAAACTCAACATTTGGTGTCCTTAGAAGCCTTTTTACTGGCTTCTGTATCCAAATCTTAGAACAAAAATAAATAATTAACATACTTATACTATTTGATTACCTCCATAGATAAAAAATAGTGTTAAAAAATAAATTATCTTGTTAACTAATAAAGATTTATTGCCAGTTCACTTACATTTAACACTTTCCACTCGGATGTCGCCACTCCGACGGCAAAATGCAAATAAATCTCGGAATTAGCGAGTGGAAAGGGTTAATTCCACTCTATCATTGTAGACTTTCTATTATTACATTAATCAGTGTCTCAACAATAAAGATTTATTGCCAGTTCTCAAATTCATTCACATTTAACACTTTCCACTCGGATGCCGCCACTCCGACAGCAAAATTCGTATAAATCTCGGAATTAGCGAGTGGAAAGGGTTAATTCCACTCTATCACTGTAGATCTTTCTATTAATACCTTAATCAGTGTCTCGACAATAAAGATTTATTGCCAGTTCGCAAAATTCACTCACATTTTACACTTTCCACTCAGATACCGCCACTCCGATGGCAAAATTTAAATAAATCTCAGAATTAGTGAGTGGAAAGGGTTTATTCCACTCTACCACTGTAGATCTTTCAATTATTACATTAATCAGTGTCTCGACAATAAAGATTTATTGCCAGTTCTCAAATTCATTCACATTTAACACCATCCACTGGGATACCGCCACTCTGATAGCAAAATTTAAATAAATCTTAGAATTAGCGAGTGGAAAGGGTTTATTCCACTCTACCACTGTAGATCTTCGAATTATTACATTAATCAGTGTCTCAACAATAAAGATTTATTGCCAGTTCTCAAAATCTCACATTTAACACTTTCCACTCGGATGCCGCCACTCTCATGGCAAAATTTAAATAAATCTCGGAATAAGCGAGTGGAAAGGGTTAATTTCACTCTATCATTGTAGATCTTTCAATTATTACATTATCAGTGTCTAGACAATAAAGATTTATTGCCAGTTGTTACATTTAACACTTTCCACTCGGATGCCGCCACTCTTATAGCAAATTTTAAATAAATCTCAGAATTAGCAAGTGGAAAGGGTTTATTCCACTCTACCACTGTAGATCTTCGAATTATTACATTAATCAGTGTCTCAACAATAAAGATTTATTGCCAGTTCTCAAATTCATTCACATTTAATACCATTCACTGGGACACCGCGACTCCGACGGCAAAATTTAAATAAATCTCGGAATAAGCGAGTGGAAAGGGTTAATTTCACTCTATCATTGTAGATCTTTCAATTATTACATTATCAGTGTCTAGACAATAAAGATTTATTGCCAGTTCTCAAATTGACTCACATTTAACACTTTCCGCTCGGATGCCGCCACTCCGACAGCAAAATTCGTATAAATCTCGGAATTAAGGAGTGGAAAGGGTTAATTTCACTCTATCACTGTAGATCTTTCAATTATTACATCAATCTCTTATCAATTATACCTCCGATTGAAAGAAATCAGCATGTTTGTTCATGTGTAACCTTAGCATATAAGCATTCTTATAAGAACTTTGACAAAAGCTACAATCATAATTCCTTTCATCCGAGTGAACAGCCATGTGAGACTTAACAAACTGCTTCCTAGAGAAGGCTTTCTGGCAAACGGGGCAAGAAAACTTCTTCTCCCCTGTGTGAACAACCATGTGGGATCTCAAGCGTCCGGAACTAACAAAACCTTTTTTGCAAACTGTGCAAACATAAGGTTTCTCACCGCTGTGTTGTCTTAGGTGGATTGTCAGGCGTCCAGAGAATTTGAAGCCTTTTTGGCATACACCACAAACAAAAGGCTTCTCATCAGAATGATGGGTTCTTATATGGACGAATCTTAAGTTCCAGGTTTTAAATTTCTCCCCGCAATCCGGACATTCGTATTTTTTATCTGAGACGTGTATACGCATGTGCACGGCTAGATAACCCTTGGACCGGAACGATTTACCACACACCTCACAAGGATAAGACTCCACCGGGAAATGTAATGTCCGCATGTGTTCTTGCAAGTAAAAATTTGTTGCAAATGTGCGTCCACACTCTGAACACAAATGTTTCCTAGAAATCTTATCAATGATTTCAGGGTGCTCTTTGAAATGCTGTTTTAACTGTGAATACTTACTAAAACCTTCGTCACATAAAGAACAAGTGTGCTTGTGGTCGACACCGTGTTCAAGTTTATGTGCATGCAGGATACGTTGTGTCCTGAAATGCATGTTGCAAATTGTGCACCTGAAAGGCTCTTCGGATTTGTGTGTTCTTTTGTGGGCTTCGAGGCCTAGTGCAAACTGGAATGTTTTGGTACATAAGTTACATGCAAAGGGTCTGGAGTGTCGGTGGAGTCTTAGAATGTGCTTTCTTCTTCTGTCAAATGTTGGAAAACTTTCTTCGCAATGCTCACATTTGAAAGTTTTTTCCTGCAATTCGCAGACGTGTTTGGCATGCTCTTCGTTGGAATCAAATTCTGCTTTACATTTGTAACATTGGGGCTTGGTGTCTACTGAATCACTGTTTAAGGTACTAATATCTTCATCGATGCAAGGGCTTTCATCGTGCTCCGAATCAATATCTTCAATAGCTTGAACAGAAATATCAATAACCTCTTTACAATCACCATCAGCACCTGCATCAATCCTTACTTCATCAGAATTAGGATTACAATCAATTTTACTCCCAAGACTTGACATAACCTCACTTAATATTTCTATAGAATTTCTGTATCTTTTCCAAAAATCGTACAACTTATACAATTCCTCAAGGCAATTTTGACAAATATGTTTGGGGTACTGGTCGTTCCAGGAGGCTTCGAGACCCGAGCACAATATAAGCATATTTAAAATTCCATTACCTGCATCGAAACATCCTTCTTCTTCAACAAAAAGTGGAAGCAAATTTTTGTCTGTCATACATACTCTGCACATGTCTTCATCGAAATAATTAGAAAATAAATTATTATTTGAAACAATCGGTTTAATTTCCGTGTCCATTGTAAATTAAATTAGTTGTATATTTATTATTTATGTTTTGTATGTAAGACGAAGCTTTACTTGTCACTTTTGACGCAAGATATAGTGTTGCCAGATGCCAGAACTAACAGATAAAGGTGCCCCCACACATAGGTAAAAGAAGAGCATCCACACTAACTATTTATTTAAATTTAAATATAAACATAAACATATAAACTTAGTCAAAAAAAGAGTATAAACATGGTATAAACGTATAAATTATCAAAAGAATTTTTCTTTAGAAAATCTGCATTAACTGATAAGTAAAGCATGATCATCCAAATTGGAGGCTTCGTACTTGGAGATCCGTGCGCCCGAAATCGTGGACAAAAAATTGTAGACACACAAAACACACACACACATAGATAAAAGAAGCGTATATAGATCGCTCTCTTGCACACACATTCATTCTTTTTTTTCTAAGGTATCTTCAAAAAGCAAAGATATACAAAAACATATACATATTTTGGACGATTACTATAACTTAAAGGGCGTCTTTTAATCACGTGAGACTTTTAGGGAAAGGGGAAAGTTTGACCAAAAATACCGAAAAATCACGTGGAGGAAGGAGGAGTCTAGTAAGATAACACGTGTTTTTATTAACTTCCCGTAGGGCAAGTTATAGTAATCGCAAAAAATCGAAAATAATTTTTTTTATTTATCTTTACGTTTCAAAGATTTCTGAATATTTTTGCACACCTTAGAAAAAATGGATCTATGTGTGTGTGTGCGGATACAAATTGTCGTCGACGATTTCGGGAACACCGATCAACCGATTTGAATATTTTAGAAAACATTCGATTCGTATTGATAAGGAGACGTGCTGAACGTGCCAAAAATGGTGACTCAGTTTTTAAGAGAACAAAGTGTCCGATTTTAATAATTCAAAAAACATTTTACTTGTATTGACAAGATGAAGAATTGATCAAATTTTCATGAAGGCGGGTCTAGCGGTTTCGGAGATCTAATGAAAAAATAAAAAAAAAAGCCATTTGGCAGTCAACAATGATTATTAGACATATGCACATCAAATTATCAGATAATTTATAGAGATTTTAACAATAAGTATAAATTTTGTTTATATTGCTATCGGTTCCGTACCAATATTTATCCGTTAGACGGCGACGCGGCGCTTACGCGCTTTGACTTTTCGTCTCTATGCTGTTAAAGCAGTACATTTGCTTTGAAAAAAAGTTCAGAATTTCCAAAATAGGTCAAATAGGTTCTTTATTTTCAAGTTCAAGAAAAAGTAATTTTTTGTCAAATTTCAAATTATAGTTCTCAAAAATCTATTTTTTTTAAGTAAATTTTTTTAAAAAATGTTAATCGTTTTTAAAAAAAGAATAATTTTTGATACGGGAAGTTCCAGCAATTTGCCTTAAGGCACGATGCCATGCGCCCCACTAGTTTTTTACCTAAATTTTCAAGAAACAAACAAAAATTTCACGTTTATTTCATAAAATCGAAAAATTTATTCGGCAAATTTTACCTAACTAAAAATTCAGATGATGTTTGATGGTGGAGTGGGGGGGGGGGGTAATTCTAAATTTGACGACATATTACCAAGGCGGAGGGAGGGTCCAAAAATCGCTAAAAAATCGATAATCCTATTAATGGACTCATAATGGAAGCCCCCCTACCCTCCAGGAAGTTAATTACATTGTTTACCCAATTTTATTTCGAGTTTTAAAAATGTTTTTTATTTAAGTATGGACGTCAACTGTAATCAGTAGCTACATACGAATGTGCAGTTTGCTTCGGCATTAGATTTTTATTCTCAATCGTAAAAATAATATAGATATTAGTTTTTTTTTTTTAAAAGTAGCAATTTCTAAAGACATTACCATATTTTTGAGATAAGTATAATTTTTAATGCCAGTTTTTTTTCAGATATAGATAATCGAACTATTGGAAACAAAATATCATTTTTAAGTATCAATTTTTCAAAGTCTGATTTTAAAAAAATAAAATATCAATTGCTAAATAATTTGTTTAGAAACAAATGATCAAGTTTATTAAAGAAAATATAATTAATTTAAAATATAATAAATTAAAAAAAGAAAATCATATTTATTATAGAGAGAATAAATTTTTGTATACTTGTGTATATTGTTAATAAAACAAGGCATTTTTTTTTGAAACAATATATTAATTTAAAAAAGTTTTTTTTAAAAGAATACAATAATTTATTTTAAAAAAAGTATCAATTTCTAAAAGACAGTAACATTTTTTTAAAGAAAGTATCGTTTTTTATCCACTTCTAAAACAAAGTATCAATTTTTAAAACATAAGTATTATATCTCAAAAGAATGCATAAATTTTAAAAATTCTTGTTTTCTAAAAAATTCCAGTTTCAAAAATTGTTTTAAAGATGAAGACTTTTATTGAAAAATTGATACTTTCTTTAAAACATTGATATTATCTTTAAAAACACTTTGCTCTTTATTTTTAAAATATACTTTACTTTAAAACATTGATACTTTCTTTAAAAAATTGATTGATTGTCTTAAAAATAAAAAAAAACTTCACAAAGAAAATAAATATTAATTTTTTAAAGAAAGCAATGTTGAATAATGTATACTTAAAATAACAAATAAATAAAATATAATATATAATAAATAAACAACAGTATATATATATATATATATATATATATATTTATAGAATTTTGAGATATGAGAGGAACAAATATTAAATGTTAAATATGAACAAAGCAACACTCAGATTTTGTAACAACTTTATTTTATAATTACAAACGTTTCGAGACCATCTTCTCTCTTCATCTTCAATGTAATTTCAAAAAACAGTTACTTATTACTATACATTCTTTTAATATTTTATTCAAACTATATTCAACTTTTAAACGTTAAACTAACTTTTAAAAGTTAAATATAGTTTAAATAAAATATTAAAATAATGTATAGTAATAAGTGACTGTTTTTTGAAATTACACTGAAGATGAGGCACGGTCTTGAATGGCCTCGAAACGTTTGTAATTATAAAATAAAGTTGTTAAAAAATCTGAGTGTTGCTTTGTTCAAAGTATAACATTTAATATATAAATATTTATATATATATATATATATATATATATATGTATATATATATATATATATAATTTCAATACAAATTATATATAAATTACATATCATATTGATATAACATATAGACACATCATATATGTTTTCCATCCCTATCACATTTTTCATTTTTTATTTTCACATATTTTTCATTAACCATCTTCTCCTCCAAAACTTTCTCCTTGAGTTTTGCCATCGCTATCTCTTTATGTACTCTTTTAACATGAGTATTCAAAGCGCTCGGTTGAGTAAATGCTTTTTCACACATTCCACATCGAAAAGGTTTTTCCCCAGAATGTTTATTCGAATGAAGTTTCAAATCTTGCATTCTATAAAACCCTGCCCCACATTGTTCACAAGTGTATCTTTTTTCTTTCATATGGACTTGCAGTTTATGTCTTGTAAGATATCGCTTCAGTGCAAATACAGCATTGCATTCTTTACATTCGTAAGACTGTCCCCCTGAATGCTTTTTCATGTGCTCCTTGAAGTTATGTAAGCGAATAAAACTTTTATCACACACGGTACATTTGTGGAGTCGTTTATCTGTGTGTGAGGTGATATGAGCTTGCAACCCTGAAAACTGTGAGTATGATTTATCACAGAAAGTACATTTGTAAAGTTTACCCTCCAGATGAGTATATTGGTGACTCGTTAGGTATCTAGAAGTAGTAAAACCCTTGTTGCATATTTGACACACGTAAGGTTTGATTCCTGTGTGGGTTCTTAGGTGCTCTTTTAAAGCTTGAGATTGATTGAAAGCTTTAGAGCAGTATAGACATAAAAATCGACCAAGAGGACGACAGGTGTTCTTGTGACTTGTGAAACTTTTTTCATACATATAAAACTTGCCACAGTAGTCGCATGAATAAGGTTTGGATTTTGAAGGTTCGTTTGTCGATGGTTTGGAGTTTAAGATTGTGTTTAAAAGTTCCTCCTGATCTAAAGAATCTAAATCTGGTAATATGTTTTCAATATCTTCCTGAGTAAGGATTTCTTCAAACAATGAGTACTCATCTTCCTCATGCATTTTATACAACTGTAATCATTGGGTAATAAAATTTTTTGCTGATGTATTATATACTAAATTATAACAGAAAATTAAATATTGTAATTTAATAAGGACAATATATAACATATTTTTATTATTTACCTGCTATATTAATCGAAATGACAATATTTCAAATCAAGTGTTCGTTCGTTCGTTCTTCTGTCAAAAATGGCTGCACAGTGTCACTGACACATAAATTTTATTAAATTTTAATTTTTTAACCGTCAAAAAACTTTTAATAATATTTACTTACAATAAATCGATTTAATTATTGTAAATTTATTTATTTAAATTAATGTAAAACACTTTTTACTATTATGTTACTTGTTTCAACACTAGTGAAGACAAAATGCACTTCCTATCTATATATGTATATAAAACATGTATCTTTGGATATAAACGGTAATCCATAACTCAATGACTAAACATAACTGTCGTTTTGAATTAAGATTATTAGAATTTTTTAAAATGGTTACTTTAAATGCATATTAGTTTTAGATAAATAAGTATAAATAGATCGTAAACACGGCCGCATTAAAATTACATCAATTTTAATTCTTTAAGCATATCATAGAAGTCGCCACCGGCCGTAGCACGTAAATTTACCTTTAGGTTAAATTCTAGATAAAATTTATATAAATATATACTTTATATGATTCTGAATTTGATAGTGACATATGTATTAATAAAGTCTAGTAACCGGGCATAACATCAACAAAAAACATGAACTTCTTTCAAAAATTTATTTTACATCCATACGTTTCGGTTCGGTTTTTTCCGAAAAAAAAAGTTGAAACAAAAATTTTTTTTTTCCAAAATCAATCATTTTGTTAAGACAAGCAGAAAGTTCTTTGAATCATTTAAATCGGACGCTTAGTTCTCTCAAAAACTGCCATTTTTACACATTTAGCTCCGTATCTTCGAAATGGCTGAGCCTGCCTTTGCCAAAAACTAATAAACATTTCTCCCAATCATTACTAATTGAATGTTTTTTAGATCATTCAAATGCTCCGTTCTCTCAAAAACTTAATTTCTATTTTCTGCACTCTTTGCTCTTTATCTTCGTAACTGCTGGACCTGCCTTTGCCAAAAACTAATCAGCTCATCTCTCTATCAATAGGAATCGAATGTTTTTTGAACCATTTAAATCGGTTGATCCGTGCGCCCGAAAACGTGACTGAAAATTTGTATCCATACATACATACACACACACACATCCATTTTTTCTGAAGTAGGCCAAAATGTTCAGAAATGCTTCAAAACGTCGAGAAATGTAAAAATTTTCATTTTCGATTTTCGGCCCATTACAATAACTTACCCTACGGGAAGTTAATTAGAAACTAAAACAATTGGATTGGTGAAAAAAATTGATTTGACATATTTCCATCTATAAAACTGATATCACTACTGCTTGATAACAAGTTTTCAGATGCGGGTATCGTATCTAGAATCCTGGAAAAAATAATATCTTTAAGTTATATTCGTTAGGCAATAAATATAGTTCTTAATACATATTCTATGTACTATAAATTATGCAATTATTTAAAGATAAATTAATTTAATTTGATACAGAATGTTTCTTTATCTAAATGCAATACTTCACATGGTTTAATAATATTTATGGATACTATAAAGTCCTTAGTATTGGATATAAAAGATATTTAATATCGCCATCAATATATATTTATGAGGTGGCAGATATATTACATAATCTAATTAAACAGAGCTCTCGTTTTCTTATTAAAGATTTTTGCAATGTGATGTGATAATAAATATTATTAGTTTTCCATAAAAATTATTATGCTATGGTATTGCTATTTTAAGGGCCTATCTTCATATAAGTTGGTTTCGTTTTCAAATATATTATTATAATCGATATATCAAGAATATAAATGAGCTTTAGAATTTTGGCTAGAATTGAAATTAAAATCCAAATTATTATCGATATTCAAAAAAAATGTTGGAAATAAAATAAAAATTAAAACAGGTTTTTTAAATCATTCAAATCGGATGCTTCGTTCTCTCAAAAACTACCATTTATTGCACATTTTGTTCCGTGTCTCCGAAACGGCTGGACTTGTCATTGCCAAAAACTAATTATTACTTCTTCTCATCATTACAAATTAAATGTTTTTTGAATAATTCAAATCGAATGCTCCGCGCTCTCAAAACTTCGATTTCTATTTTCTACACTCTTTGCATCGTATCTCCGAAACGGCTGGACCTGTCTTTACCAAAAACTAATCAACACGTCTCCCCATCAGTAGGAATCGAATGTTTGTTGAATATTTAAAATCGGTTGATCCGTGCACCCGAAAACGTGACTGGAAATTTGTATCCATACATACATACACACACACACACAACCATTTTTTCTGAGGTATGCCAAATTGTTCAGAAACCTTCAAAAACGGTAAAAATTTTTAATTTCGATTTTCGGCCCATTACAATAACTTAACCTACGGGAAGTTAAAAAAATAAAAATAAAAATGTTTACCATCCCTGGATGCCGCCCTCCATTTAAGCAGCTGTCAAAAAGATAACCTAACTATTAAAATCTAAATTTGTGCAAATGAGTTTAGTTTTTAATTGAAGAAAATTGATTTTAAATATTGGTAAATGAATATAATATATACTAATAGGCAATAATACTAACTAATGGTATAAATACAACCTATTATGTGTACAACTTTGCTTCCAACTTTTTTTTAAAACCAGACTTTTGGAATTTTGGAAAAAAAATGGAGGAAAAGTTAAACACTTAATATAATATTATACAAAATTTATAGGTTTCTCATGCCTAATGTTTTCAGATATTCACCATCTCATTTCTCCCTCACCATGATGAAACGTTTTATTGACATCGGTGCCAATTTAACAGACCTCATGTACCTTGGTAAATACCACAGTTCCCAAAAACACGAAGCAGACCTCAAAGACGTTCTACAAAGAAGTTGGTCCGGTGGTCTTGAAAAAATCATAATCACCGGAGGCAGTTTAGAAGATGCCAAAAACAGTCTGGAACTCGCCAACACCGATGACCGGTTATACTGCACTGTTGGATGCCATCCTACTCGCTGCAAGGAGTTTGAAGAGAATCCTGGTGAATATTTAAACAGTTTAGAAAAGCTGATTCAGGATAATCCTAAAAAAGTGGTGGCAATCGGTGAGATGGGTTTGGATTATGACCGTTTAACATTTTGTGATAAAGAGACTCAAAAGAAGTACTTTGAGTTGCAACTTACATTATGTGATAAAATAAAACTACCTTTATTCCTGCACTGTCGGGCAGCCTCTGAAGACTTTCTTGAGATTCTTAAAAGAAACATCAACCGTATTCATGGGGGCGTTGTGCATTCCTTTGATGGCACCAAGGATGATGTTGAGAGGATTTTAGAGTTAGGTTTATATATTGGAATCAATGGGTGCTCTTTAAAAACTTTGGACAATCTAAATGTGGTCAAAAGTATTCCATTGGAGTCTTTGTTGATAGAAACTGATGCTCCCTGGTGTGAAATTAAACCGACACATGCTAGTTTTGAGTATGTTAAAACAAAATTCCCGGCTGTTAAGAAAGAAAAGTGGCAAGCAGGGTGTATGGTTAAAGGAAGAAATGAACCGGTGACTATTATCCAGGTTTTGGAAGTGTTGGCTGGTGTGAAACAAGAGGATGGTGAACATGTTGCTCGAGTTATTTATGATAATACAATGAAACTGTTTTTTCCTTGTTTATAGAATTATTTGGATAAATAAACTAGTTGCAAGTAGCATTTTGCCTTAAGGCAAGTTGCTTGAACTTCCTGATATGTGGACATAATTAAATTAAACAATAAGTAAGGAAATTCAACTATTTAGATGAAATATTTAACTATCATTAAAAATAACTATTGACGTCTTTTAAACGTACACAGGGTTAAACCTTTCCACTCGGATGCCACCGGGGAAATTATTTGTTGATTTTTTATAAATCAACCGCTTATCGTAGGTCTATAATCTATGCCTATATTATTTCAGTATGTATTTTTTTTCAACTGTGATCAGTAGTACTATTCAACTAAAATAAATAACTAATATGATTTCCAATTGTTGACTTTCACAAACATACTTAATTATAATATCTATAACTGTATAAATATAAAATTAATTTATTTTATTTCGCCCCTTTCAAGTTCTAACAATGTATTTATTTAAGTGTACACGTCAACTGTAATCAGTAGTACACCTACAAAACACGAAACATGGGCTTTGGAATAGATTCTGATTAGATTCTCTCAAGCTTGCAGCAAAATTCTAAACATTTTTAATTTTTTGTAATTTTACCGCTTATCGTAGGCCTATAATATTTTAATGTTATTTCAGATTACGTCAACTGTGATCAGTAGTACTATTCAACTAAAATAAATAACTAATATGATTTCCAATTGTCGACTTTCAAACATACTTATAATATCTATGATTATATAAATATAAAATTAAATTATTTAATACATTATATTTCATCTCTTTAAAGTTCTAACAATGTATTTTATTTAAGTGTACACGTCAACTGTAATCAGTAGTACACCTACAAAACACTAAAGAACGAACATAGGCTTTGGAACAGATTCTGATTAGATTCTATCAAGCTTGCAGCGAATTTCTAAACTTTTATGATTTTTTGTAATTCAACCACTTATCGTAAGCCTATAATATTTAAATATATAATTTCAGATTAACGTCAACTGTGATCAGTAGTACTATTCAACAAAAATAAATAACTAATATGATTTCCAATTGTCGACTTTCAAACGTACTTATAATATCTATGATTGTATAAATATAAAATTAACTGATTTAATGCATTATATTTCATCCCTTCAAAGTTCTAACAATGTATTTTATTTAAGTGTACACGTCAACTGTAATCAGTAGTACACCTACAAAACACTAAAGAACAAACATAGGCTTTGGACTAGATCCTGATTAGATTCTCTCAAGCTTGCAGCAAAATTCTATTTTTTTGTAATTTAACCGCTTATCTTATTAAGCCTATAATATTTTAGTATATAACTCCAGATTGACGTCAACCGTGATCAGTAGTACACCTACAAAATACTGAAGTACGAACTTATGCTTTGGAACAGATTCTGATTAGATTATCTCAAGCTTGCAGCGAAAATCAAAAACTTTATGATTTTTTATAAATCGACCGCTTATCGTAGGCCTATAATATTTTAGTATGTTATTCCATATTACGAAATATATCGTTATACAAAGTTTCATTAAGATCATCAAAAAAAAATTGAATTATAAAATTTGGTCTCATTTAAACATAAAACTAGTGGTGTATGGTATTGTGCCTTGAGGCAAATTGCTAGAACTTTCCGTACCATAATGAAGTATTTGAAGAATAAAATTTAGTCCATTTTTTTTTTGGAAATTAAAATAAGAAACTAAACACAAACAGAAAGTTTTTTGAATCATTCAAATCGGATGCTTAGTTCTCTTTTGCATATTTAGCTCCGTATCTCCGAAACGACTAGACCTGCTTTGCCTAATCATTCAAAGCGGATACTCCGTTCTCTCAGAAACTCGATTTCTATTTTCAGCACTCTTCGCTCCGTACCTCCTAAACGGCTGGACCTGCGTTTGCCAAAAACTAATCAACACATCTCCCTATCAACACGAATTGAATGTTTTTGCAATCATTCAAATCGGTTGATCCGTGGGCCCGAAAGCATGGACGAAAAATTGTATCCATACATACACACATCCATTTTTTCTGAGGTATGGCAAAATGTTCAGAAAACTCTGAAACGTAGATATGCAAAAAAAATCAATTTTGAGTTATGGAGGATTACAATAACTTACCAGTTAAATATAAACTATTCATAGATAAATACATAAATATAAAAACTATCTTATGAAACTATCTTTCTCAGGGCTTCTTAACCTTTGTCCTTAGCGATCCCATTTATGATTGCGAATTTCTTGATGACCCCACACAAATCAACACAAATATAAATTTGTTGTCTCGTATCTCCGAAGTGGCTGGACCTGCTTTTACCAAAATCTAATCACCACTTCCCCCCATCTTTATAACTTGAATGCTTTATGAATTATTCAAATCGGTTGATCCATTCTCTAAAAACCGTCGTTTTTAGCACTTTTTGCTCCACTTTTCCGTAACAATAAAATACATAACATATGTACTGTTAGAATTCGTTGTAAAACATGCAAAAATTTAGACGTGATGGTATGAACATATATAAATGATTGAAATTAAAATCTCTAGAATAATCCTACGCGACCCATAGGTTAAGAAGCCCTGATCTATCTTATAAATAATTATTTTTCTCAACTCTGGCAACACTTTTCTTAACTTCTCCATGTTATTCTTATTCTGGCAACACTATCTTTAGCTGTCACTTTTGAATATAAACTTCAAGTTATTGATCCAAAATAATAATTCATATTTAATAAATATTAAGTTAAATTGTAAATAAATAATTAAAGAACATAATTGAAAATACAAAATGTCTGAAGATGCTATTTTGTTACAAAGTGAACATCAAATTAAAATTGAACCAATAGAATATTCAATAACAGAAATTCAAGATGAAAATAATACCAGTGAAGATCAAGATGATGATTCGGATGATAAAACATATTTAGAAGAAGATATAAAATTACAGTCAACTATAGTAATTAAAAAAGGAGTTGTAGAAGAAAAACTCTATAAATGCCAAACTTGTAGTAAAATTTTCAAAAAGCTCGGTCACTTAAAAAGACACAGCACAATCCATTCTGACGACAAGCCTTTCAAATGCAAATTCTGTGACAAGTCCTTCAAGCTAAAGGAGCACTTAAAAATACACCACCGTACTCATACAGGTGAACGTCCTTATTCCTGCCAAATATGCGATAAAGCCTTCATCAATGCAAGTGATTTAGGTAAACACAAACGCAGTCACACCGGTGACAAACCATTCGAATGCTCAATTTGTAAAAAAACCTTTGCTTATTCTTATTCCTTATCAATTCATGTCAAAAGACACAACGGTGACTTCCCGTACAAATGTGAAAAATGTCCCAAAGGCTTTGTGTCCCCCAATTTACTAAAAAACCACATGTTCTCTCATGGAGGAGAACGTCCATTCCAGTGCCAATTATGTGATAAAGCCTTTACCACTTTAGGTAATTTAAGAAACCATATGGTAGTCCACACCGGACAGAAAGATTATAAGTGTGATGTCTGTGATAAAGCATTTACACAATCGAATAATTTGAAACTGCATCAAGCAACTCACACTGGGGTCTTGCCTCATAAATGTAAAACATGTGGTGAAGCCTTCGCTTTGTGGCGGCATTTGCAAAAGCATAGGGCTATCCATGATAAAGGATTATTGGAATCTGAAAAAAAGGGGGTAAATGACTCAGAGGAAGTTTCAAGTAGTCGAATTGATGATGTAGCACCAGAGTAATGGTCTGAGAAGAAAGAGTTTATGAAGCTTGTAGTTGGAATGACAAATTTTAAAGCAAAAAGTGGTGTCAAGTACTTCAAATTATAGAAGTTTTTCTGGATATAATGTATTTATGTTGAAAATACATTCAAATAATAGTTGTCCATTGCCAAATTGTAATATAAATTTGGCATTGAGGAAGAAACAAGCCAAAAGCCAGATATTTTTGTCTTTTAATACATTTAAAGTGGATCTACTATAGATCTTATACTACATGGACTGCTAGTCCCCATAAGTTTTCCATTGTATAAAGTGTACAAAAATAGAAGGGACTTTAACATCACTTGCTGAGCGAGTGTTGCTGACAATCGTGGAACTCTGCTGATTGATTAAATGTCATATGTCATATATTTTATTTTCTTCAGATCGTTTCCTCGATATTAGTCAGGTTTTTGATAAGGTGTGGCACCCTGGTCCACTTTACAAAATCAAAAATGCATTCCATATGATATATACCTAATCATAAAGTCCTACCTTTAAGGTAGAACATTCTTTGTTAGTGTAATGGATGAAATTCCACATCACATCCGGTCAAATCGGGAGTGCCTCAAGGTAGTGTCATTGGGCCACTATTATACCTCATATACACTGCTACAGATGACATTTTAACAGCAACATATGCAGGCATTCTGGCAACACATGAAGATTCCATAATTATATTATTATCATCTTGATGTGATACAAAACTGGTTGAGCTTGTGGAGTATATAAGTTAACAGCAGCAAGTCAAAACACATCACTTTCACTCTTTGCAAAGGGACTTGTCCTGCAGTAAGACTTAATGACAAAATTATAGATCAAACAGATACAGTCAAATATCTAGGTTTACTTCTGCATAAATGACTAACCTGGAAAGAATACATTAGGAAAAAAGAAAGCAGCTTGAAGATATTATTGGCTCCTTGGATGAAAATCTAAACTTGACACGCATAATAAAAATTACTTCTATAAAGCCATTATTAAACCAATTTGGACATACAGTCTACAGCTATGGGGATCAACTTACAACTATAATCATTTGAAGATTTCAAAACAGGTTATTAAAATAAATTTTGAAAGCATCAAAGTATGTTCAAAATTAGTTAATACACAAGGACACAGGCACTAGCACAGTTAAGGATGAAATAATTGCTTACTCACACAAATATAAAAATCGCCTAGTTGATCACCCAAACTTGCTCGCCAGAAAACTTCAGAATATCTCTACCAGAACCAGATTGAAAAGAAAATTTCTTCTGCATTAATCAACAATAGATAAGGCCTTTGACAAACCACTGGCAATGGTCAGATGATTTGTATTTTGCCAACGCCTTCAGTTTTATGTCAAATATTTTACTTGTTGTCCGTTTCAGGACAGTTGTAAACATTATTAAAATAATTAAAAAAAAAGAGTTTTATTTTAATAATGTAATGGCAATTGTGATGACTGATAATTTTGTAAGAAATGATATTAATAATATTTAATAATATTTGTGATAATATTTAATGTTATCCAAAAATTATGTGATAGTTTTATTTCAATAATATAATGGCAATTGTATTACTATTACTAATTGTCATTATATTATTGAAATAAAACTATCACAGATAATATTTGAATTACATTGACTATTATGCTAAATATTATTATCATTTTGTACAAATTTATGAGTCATCACAATTGCACAATGAAAACATTAGAATAAATAAAAACTTACCAAGTCAGAACTAACCTTCATTTGCTATCATCAAAATTTTTGTCTTTCATATTTCCATGTCAGGTTCTAAATCCTTCATAAGTGATATATTTAATAAAAGTCTCAAAGCAAGCTTTTTCTTTTGTATGTAGATTCCTAATCCAAAAAAGATCTTTCCAGCAGAATTACTCATAATATATATACAAGCCTCGAAGCAAGTTTTTGCAATGCAATCTTGAATATAAAATGAGTTTTAAAGCCTCCACAATTGTATCTTCAGTCGTAGAAAACTGTAGTTCAGTCGTAGAAAACTAGGTAAACAAAAAGAACTGGATATCATATGAAAATTTATTGTGATGTTTGATAAATATCAGAGTTGTAATCAATGTAATTTATACAATAAAGATATACAAAGGACGATATATAATGAAAAGTGACTACTTACAATAATTGTTCAACAGAAATATGTTTTATTAAAGAATTAGAACAAATATAAACTTACCCAACCTTTATTTACTCTCATTATAATTTTTGTCTCTTATATTTCTATGTCAGGATATAAATCTTCGTAAGCAATAATATTTAATAAGAGCAAGCTTTTTCTTTTGTATATAGATTCCTAATCCAAAAGAGATCTTTCAAAGCAGAATTACTAATAATATATTTTAAGACTCAAAGCAAGTTTTTTTAATGTGTAGATTCCCAAACCCAAAAGTGATTCTTCCAAATAGAATGACTAATAATCAATAATATAGTAGAAATACTATGATTACATCTTGCTTTTATCAATTACAAATTAATATAAATTATTATATTATACAAAAGGCTACTTAACATGTCGTCTACCATTAGATATCACATTTTATATTATAATAAGTAATGAAACAAATATCTTTCACTGAATACAATTGCTTCCACAAGTATATAATACAAAATTCATTTTAAAACTTGATCAATATTAATGGATAAATAAATATTAAAATGTACAGAAATATGAACTTACCAAGTCAGAACTAACCTTTATTTACTATCATCAAAATTTTTGTCTCTTATATTTCCATGTCAGCAAAAAAATCCTTCGTAAGTGATATATTTAATAAGCCTCGAAGCAGGTTTTTCTTTTGTATGTATATTCCTAATCCAAAAGAGATCTTTCCAAGTAAAATTACTCATAATATATTACAAGCCTCGAAGCAAGTGTTTCTTTTATATGTAGATTCCTAATCCAAAGAGATCTTTTTAAGCAAAATTACTAAAAATAAATAATAGAATAGATACTAGAATACATACTATTATATTACATTAGAAGCCTCGAAGCAAGTATTTCTTTTATATATAGCTTTCTAACCCAAAGAAACACAATTACTAGTAATAAATATTAGAATTAGAAACACAATTACTAATAATAAATATTAGAATAGATACTGAAATTAATACTGTTTTTATATCTCGTTTTTATCAATTATAAATTATGATAAATTATTGTATTATATAAAAGCTGTTTACTTAACATGTTTGCTTCCATCAGATGTCACATTTTATATTTATATTGTACTTGATTTTCTGAGCTTATTTAAATAAAAAACAAAGCTTACATTCAGATAAGACACATAACTAACTTAATGAATAAATAAATAATAAAAAGGATTTGTACAGAATTTAATATTGAAAAAAGTAATAAAACGCAATGTGTTTTGACAGTTACCTGATACTTAATCCTGATTGGTTGGTCAATTTCTACTTTACCCTGATTGGCTGGAGTGCCAATAATGGCGAATAACCAAATTTAGGGGGTAAATTCAAAAAATTAAACATTCAGATTATAAAACTAGCTGTAAGTGGAATTCTGTCTTAAGGCAATTAGGGCATCGTCCCTTAAGGCAAATTGCTGGAACTTCCCGTACCGCAATTCAAAATTCGAGTAATTAAAAATAATGAATAATAATCAATAAGAGTTGATCAATGATTTGAAACTTTTAATAAAATTTCGAACCATATTAAATCATTCTATCTTAAATCATTTATTTTGAAATATTTTGGAAATTCTGAACTTTTTTTCAAAGCAATCGTACTGCTTTAACTGCGTAAAGACCAAATGTCAAAGCGCGTAAGCGCCGCGTCGCCGTCTAACGAATAAACATTGGTACGGAACCCATAGGAATGCAAACAAAATATATACTTATTGTTAAAATCTCTATAAAATATCTGATAATTTGATGTCTAATGATCATTTTTGACCGCCAAATGGCATTTTTTTTACTTTTTTCATTAGATCTCCGAAACCGCTAGACCTGCCTTTATGAAAATTTCAGTTCTTCATCTTGTCAATACAAGTAAAATGTTTTTTGAATTACTAAAATCGGACGCTCCGTTCTCTTAAAAACTGAGTTACCGTTTTTGGCACTTTTTACCCCGTATCCTCGGAACGGCTAGACCTGCCTTTGCCAAAAACTAATCAACACGTCTCCTTATCAATATGAATCGAATGTTTTTTGAATTATTCAAATCGGTTGATCGGTGTTCCCGAAATCGTCGACGAAAATTTGTATCCGCACACACACACACACATACATCCATTTTTTTAAGGTATGCCAAAATGTTCAGAAACCTTCGAAACGTAAAGATATATAGAAATTTTCATTTTTAGATTTCTTTGCCATTACTATAACTTGCCCTACGGAAAGTTAAAAATATTATAGGTCTAGGATAAGCGGTTGAATTAAAAAAATTTATCAAAATGTATGTTATCTGAAAAACTTCTCCTTCAGAAAGTTAATAACAACTAAAAAGATATTTATATACAATTTATTGAAAATAAATTATTATTAACTTATTACACATTTACAATCGCCGTTTTTCCTCGTGCGTTTTTAAATGAGTCCTCAAAACATGTGCCTGCGTAAATGCCTTTCCACAAATTTCACACTTGAAATTCCTTTCCCCCGTATGAGTGATCATATGCTGTTTAACAAACTGGTATCGCGAGAACATCTTATCACACAATTCACACTTGAAATTCTTCTCACCCGTATGCGTAACCATATGCCTCCTCAACCCAGCCGAATTAACAAAAGCCATCACACATTCAGGACACTTGTGAGGCTTTTCGTTGGTGTGGAGTTTTTCGTGAGTCCTGAGACGGCTGGCTAGTTTGAAAGTCTTTGGGCATAATTTGCATTGATAAGGGCTTGCTGTCTCGTGGTAGACTCTGATGTGGACTCGTCTCAAATTGCATGTTGTGAATCGTTTTTGGCAGAATTGGCAAGGGTACTTTTTGATACCGCTGTGTGTGAGTTTGTGGGTGTAGAGAGTGGATTTAGATTTGAAAGCTTTTTTGCATATTTCACATTCATATGGTCGTAAGTCTGAATGTGTGGCAGAGTGTAGACGTAAGTAGTCCATGGATTTGAAGGAATGACCACATATTTGACATAAATATGAACCAAAATGTAATAATGTGTGTTTTTTTAGGATTGTTGAGGTATGAAATTTTTTATCGCAGTATTTACAACTGTATCGTCTCTCGCTATTGTGTTGAAACATGTGCGTATTCAAGTCACGAGCTGATTTGAAACTTTGTTTGCACGCTGTACAAGTATAAGGCTTTTCACCGGAATGGGTGCGTAAATGATTTTTGAAAGCACTAAAGGATTTATATTCTTTAGAACATTCTGTACAATTATATAAAGTCTCATTACTATCTAATAAATAACTTAATGGATTAAATACCTTATCGTTTGGGTTTGAACTATCTTTTTCATTATCATCTGAAAGAGCCTCTGCTTCTACATATCCCATGGACTCTTCTTTTATAATAAAATTATCTAAATGTTCATTGTTTTCTTTACAAACAGATCGTGGAGTATTGTCCAACAAAAAATCAACATCATCATAATTTGGTTTTGCCTTAACATCTAATATTGATAACAAATCTTCATCAATGCTATTGTTATGACTGCCCTTTTTACAAGAACTTTCAGGGGAAGTCTCAACATTACTCAAATTAATATTATAATCACTGCTATTTGTGCCTAGATTAATTTCCACCAAATCCTTTGATGGTGTACGATTACATGCTACCGTAGAACTATTTTGTATGATTTTACTCGGACTATTAGTATTTGACAAAGGATCTTGACTATTGTTATTCTCACCTTCCTCGATATCATTTTCAACTTTGATTTCATTCAACAGCTCGACAGATTTCCTGCACTTTTTCCAAAATTCATATGATTTGAATAAGTCTTCAAGACAACTAAAACAAATGTGTTTGGGGTACCGGTCGTTCCAGGAGGCTTCCAGAGATGTGCATAGAATAAACATATTTAATATTACATTCCCAGCATCTAAACAATCATCTAATTCTATGAATAGTGGTTGTAAATTTTTGTCTGTTAAACAAACACGACACATGTCTTCTTGAAATCTTTTTGAATATTCATTTTTGTTAATAGATTCTTTGTCAGGGCTGATAATTTCCATGATTTTATATTTAATATTTATTTATAAACAAATATAACCTGGATTTGTCAATGAACTGTCAAACTTGTTGGCGGCCATCTTTGTTTGGTATTTTTATATCGATAATGAATTATGCTTCGATATTCTTTAAGTTGGTGCTCCTGTTCAGTTTTTGCGCGATTTTTGACAGTTGTGAAGTTGAATAGTGCGGTTTGAACGATTTGGACGGGAATTAAAAGTATGTACTGTTTTTATTGAAATTCTTGTATTTTACCTAATAAATGAATATTTTTATGTATATTTTGGATTGTGTAACTCTTTCTGTGTTGTGTGCTGTTAATTATATAGTCATATTGTATTTTTTAATGTTAAAAAACTTAAATCAAAGACTGACATTGCTAAACGTTATGTAGTACATTATTGTTTATTGCTTCATTAATACAATTAATTTGCTGCAATGAATAAATTGTGTATATATACATATGCGCGACACCTGTTGTCTTGGTGTTTATATAAAATCTCTCACTTGACTCTAAATCGATCTTGCCCAAAACCATTTTTGACAAATAATTTATTTTAGGAACCATACACACCAAAATGTCTGATCAAGCAATTTTGGTTTGCTTTCGTCCTTTCAAACGTTCAGTAAAAACATCAGCAAATATAAAAAAGAAACCTAACCCAAAACCTTCAAAGAAAAAACAAGGAACAACAAAATCCAAGATCGAAAAGCAACAGCAATGTGGCATCTGTGATAAAACCTTCTCCTGCATCAAATATTTAAAAAGTCACATAAACATCCATTTTGGCATCAAGAATTACAAATGTCACCTTTGCGATAGGTCCTTTGTGAAATCAAGTACCTTTTCGTATCATCTCAAATCCCACAATGGCTTGCAACATGCATGCCATATATGCAATAAACAATATATCAGAGCATATGATCTAAAACTTCATATGCTTAAACATTTGAATATAAGACACAAGTGCCCATGTTGTAGCAAATCATATACATATCGGCAAAATCTAAATGTGCACGTGAAGTCCCACATGGGAGGAAATTTTAAATGCATATATTGTGATAAATCGTTTGCTAGATCTGATAATTTGCAAATGCATATTCGTAAAATACATGCGGAAAAAATACTGTGATTTGATGTAAATTGTATTTACATCTTTAGTTGTAAGTCGATAATGAAATTGGTCTCAATAATTGTTTGTGTGATGAATTCGTTGCTAAATTTGACTGTGTTACTAATTATTAAAACTAAATAATATTCATGAAATGAACATTATTATAGGATTATATTTACAAATATGAAATACTGTATGCTGTGATTTATTATTGTAAAATTACATTACATTTTATGTATATGTTGTGTGTTCGTATAAATATATTTTAATAAATATAATAATTAAATTTAAACTATAGTTATAAATGTTATTTTCCTAAGTGGTATTTACATTTAGCCTTAAGGCAAAGTACACGATAAGTGTAAATAATCCTAAGAAAGCAATATATGAGTGCTCTTTAAGTATACTGAGTCTTTGTTGAGCTTTATGATATAGATTATGCAATTTTGTATAAAAAATTCACGAAATTCAAAATTTTAATTTACTTTACGTATAAATGATTCCCCACATGCTATAAAAAGTCTATATACATTTTTTGAAGTAAAACTTCTTGAGATTCGACACTATAGTGACAATAAAATTTAACATTTTTCTATATTAAATTGTATAGTAACATCAAATTTTATTTCAGTATTTGTATTCTATTCAAAAAGACCTTGCACATGCCATAAAAAGTATATAAACATTTTTTGAAGTAAAACTTCTAGAGATTCATTTACTACGTATTCATGAAAAATTATATAAAGAAATCTGTTTTTGACAAATATCCTTGACGTTTATTTCTTCAATTTATTTGATACAAACGTTTCATGTCTCACACGTTTTTATATTTTAACAATAAAATTTGGAAACTTTTTTTTTAATATTAAATTGTATAGTGAATATTGTATAGTATAAATTTGAATTATATAGTAATTCAAATTTTATTTCAGTATTCGTATTCTATTCAAAAAGACCTTCCAAACGATACCCCACAAACCATAAAAAGACTATAAAAATTTATTGAAGTAAAACTTCTTGAGATTCATATACTACATATTCATGAAATGAATATTGAAAATGATATAAACAAGCCTGTTTTTGACAAATATTCTTCAACTTTATTTCTCAATTTTAGTATTCAATACAAAAGTTTCACGTCTCACACATAACATTTTGACAATAAAATTTAACATTTTTGTATATTAAATTGTATAGTTACATCAAATTTTATTTCAGTCTTCGTATTCTATCCAAAAAGACCTTTTAAACGATACCCCGCATGCCATAAAAAGTCTATTAACGTTTTTTAAAGTAAAACTTCTTGAGATTCATTTACTACATATTCATGAAAAATTATATAAAGAAATCTGTTTTTGACAAATATCCTTGATGTTTATTTCTTTAATTTATTTGATACAAATGTGTCATGTCTCACACGTTTTAATATTTTAACAATAAAATTTGGAAACATTTTTTTTAATATTAAATTGTGTAGTATAAATTTGAATTATATAGTATTTCGAATTTTATTTCAGTATTCGTATTCTATTCAAAAAGACCTTTCAAACGATACCCCACATGCCATAAAAAGTCTGTAAAAATTTATTGAAGTAAAACTTTTTAAGGTTCGTTTACTATAATTTTATCAAAAAAAGCAATTACAGTGCCTATTTCTGATAAACGTCCTTGAATTTTGTTTAATATTATTAGTATTTGGTATAAAAGTTTTACGTCTCACACATTTTTAACATTTTGACAATAAAATTTAACATTTTTGTATATTAAATTGTAAAGTAAATTCAAATTATATTTCAGTATTCGTATTCTATTCAAAAAGACCTTTCAAACGATACCTCACAAACCATAAAAAGACTACAAAAATTTATTGAAGTAAAACTTCTTGAGATTCATTTACTATATATTCATTAAAAATTATATAAAGAAATCTGTTTTTGACAAATATCCTTGATGTTTATTTCTTTAATTTGTTTGATACAAACGTTTCATGTCTTACACGTTTTAATATTTTAACAATAAAATTTGGAAACATTTTTTTTGAATATTAAATTGTATAGTGAATATTGTATAGTATAAATTTGAATTATATAGTAATTCAAATTTTATTTCAGTACTCGTATTCCATTCAAAAGGACCTTTCAAACGATATCCCACAAACCATAAAAGGACTATAAAAATTTATTGAAGTAAAACTTCTTGAGATTCATTTACTACGTATTCATGAAAAATTATATAAAGAAATCTGTTTTTGACAAATATCCTTGATGTTTTTTTCTTTAATTTATTTGATACAAACGTTTCATGTCTCACACGTTTTTATATTTTAACAATAAAATTTGAAAACATTTTTTTGAATATTAAATTGTATAGTGAATATTGTATAGTATAAATTTGAATTATATAGTAATTCAAATTTTATTTCAGTATTCGTATTCTATCTAAAAAGACCTTTCAAACGATACCCCACATGCCATAAAAAGCCTGTAAAAATTTATTGAAGTAAAACTTCTTTAGGTTCGTTTACTATAAATTTATAAAAAAAAGCAATTACAGTGCCTATTTTCGATAAAGGTCCTTGAATTTTGTTTAATATCATTAGTATTTGGTATAAAAGTTTCACGTCTTGCACATTTGGATATTTTGACAATAAAATTTAACATTTTTGTATATTAAATTGTATGCTAAATTCAAATTTTATTTCAGTATTCGTATTCTATTCAAAAAGACCTTTCAAATGATACCCCACATGCCATAAAAAATCTGTATAAATATATTGAAGTAAAACTTATTTAGGTTCGTTTACTATAAATGTATAAAAAAAGCAATAACAGTGTCTATTTTCGATAAACGTCCTTGAATTTTGTTTAATATTTTCATAATTTGATACAAAAGTTTCACGTCTTACACATTTTTAACATTTTGACAATAAAATTTAACATTTTTGTGTATTAAATTGCATAGTAACATCAAATTTTATCACAGTATTCGTATTCTATTCTAAAAGACTTTTCAAACGATACCCCACATGCCATAAAAAGTCTGTAAAAATTCATTGAAGTAAAACTTCTTTAGGTTCGTTTACTATAAATTTATAAAAAAAGCAATAACACAGTGCCTATTTTCGATAAACGTTCTTGAATTTTGTTTAATATTTTTATAATTTGATACAAAAGTTTCACGTCTTACACATTTTTAACATTTTGACAATAAAATTTAACATTTTTGTGTATTAAATTGTATAGTAGCATCAAATTTTATTGCAGTATTCGTATTCTATTTTAAAAGACCTTTCAAACGATACCCCGCATGCCATAAAAAGTCTGTAAAAATTTATTGAAGTAAAACTTGTTTAGGTTCGTTTACTATAAATTTATATAAAAAAGCAATAACAGTGCCTATTTTCAATAAACGTCCTTGAATTTTGTTTAATTTTTTTATAATTTGATATAAAAGTTTTATGTCTTACACATTTGGATATTTTGACAATAAAATTTAACATTTTTGTATATTAAATTGTATGTTAAATTCAAATTTTATTTCAGTATTCGTATTCTATCCAAAATGACCGTTCAAACAATGCCCCACATGACGTAATAAGACAATTTAAATTTTTTGAAGTAAAACTTCTTTAGGTTCGTTGGCTACAAGTTCATGCAAAACGCAATAAAATTGTGTAATAGTAATAAATCACATAGTTTTTTATTCAAAATATTTACATTCCATACATTTTAATATTGTTTGCAATAAAATTTAACAATTTAATATAAGAATATATATTTTTGCAATAAGAATATAATAATATTTATGCCTAAGCATATCACAGATATACACAAGCACTAGTGTACTTCCAATTCAGTGTTTATTTTAAAACCCAGTCTCTCTAAATATAGTACACTTTAAACGTTCCAATTATAACCAAAGAACCAATTTTATATATTGTAATATTTCTTTTTTGAATGAAAAAATGTTTAAATGTTTTCTCTTTATATATTTTTCATAACATATTTGTGATTTTGTTGAAAATATATTTTATACTCAAATATTTTGTTCTCATTTCATTTAGTCAAATTAATCAGGTTCATCTTTCCTATATTATATATTCAAATAAATCTTATCTAGAATTGAACCTGATGGTAAATATATGTGCTACGGTTGATGGCGACCTCTATGATTTGCTGAAAGAATTAAAATTCTATCTATTTATACTTGTGATCATAGATAAACAAGTGATATTTATATAAATGATATTGTGATATTTATATAAATCTTATCTAGAATTAAACCTAAGAGTAAATTTACGTGCTACGGTCATGACAACCTCTATGATATGTTGAAAGAATTAAAATCAATGTGTTTTCAAAGCGCCCATCTATTTACACTTGTTTATCTACGAATTGTATATTACACACCTTCGCATTTGTGTCCCTTCTCCAGAATGACTATTTAAATTCTCTAAGACATTAAAATCTTTATCACATTATTTATATTTATAACTATTTTCCCCCGCATGAATATTTCATGTGTTGTCTCAAATTTGCTGAGCATTTAAATGATTTTTTGCATACTACACATTCATGAAGCCTTTCTTCGGAATGAATAGCCCTGTGATCTTTTAAGTGATCTTTTCGTCGAAATTGTTTATTGCATATCTCGCATTTATGAGGGCGATCATTGGAATGGATTTGCATGTGGTTTTTCAAAGTGTTTTGTGCATTAAATGTTTTATCACATATTCCACATTTAAAAAAACTGTCTTTAGGTGTAGAGTGACAATCCATGTGCTGTTTTAAATTCCATGAAGTCGTGAAGCTTTTATTACAAATTTCACAATCAAATGGTTTTTTCTCTAAATGTATTACATTATGGATTTTTAGATGTTCATGTCTTTTGAAAGTTTTATTGCACACCAAGCATTTATAAGATCGTTTCTCAGAATGAGTAAGCATATGACTTCTTAAATTAGGCATGACTTTAAAAGATTTGTTACATAATTCACATTTATAAGCCCTTTCTCCAGAATGAGTCTTCACATGCAAATTCAAAGCCTTCTGGTTTCTAAATGCTTTGGAGCATATTTCACATGTAAAAGGTTTTTTGTCCAAGTGCATATTTAAGTGATCCTTCAAAACTGCTGACCGTAAAAATGCTCTTAAACATATGTGACATTTATAAGGTCTTTTACCAGTATGAATCTCCGAATGTGTTTTTAAATTTGCTTGTAGTTTGAAAGCTTTATTACAAATGTTGCATTTGTAGGGACGTTTATCACTGTGTGAACTCATGTGCCTTTTTAAATCAGATAATTTACTACACACTTTTTTGCATACCGGGCATTCCTTTTCAACATTGAGACTTTCATCACTGTGTATGCTCATGTGCCTTTTTAAATTAAATAAATTATTACATACCTTTTGGCATACCGAACATTTGTTTTCGATGGGAAGATCCATGTGTTCATTCAAGGAAGTATTATTATGTGTGACTTGATTATGCTCGAAGGTTTCAGATGTGGTATAAGATTCCTCTTTGATGTCTACTAATTCTTGTTTCGTCACATCAAACTTATTAATTTCTGATGAGCATGTTTCTTCATCCTCAGAATATGATTCTGATTTGATATTTAGTTCCAACGAATTATCAATTTCATTCTCTTTCATTGAAGATTCTGCTGGTTCACTTTTTATTTGGATCGTTAATGAATTTGTTTCTACTGACATGTTTAATATTATAAATTAATAAATAATGAATATTATGTAGATAAATATTTAGTTTAGTTTATTTCATAGTTTGAATCATTAAATAATCTAATTATTACTTATTTACATTAAATAATTAAATCAGATGACTGTCTTCTGTCAAAACTGTCAAAATGGCGTAAAAACATGGCGCTAAAAGGCACTAACTTCAGATTGATTTATTGATATGAAATTCCCCAGCGCCAAATTTAAAAGTTTTGACAGCTCATATTAAATAAAATATAATATTAATAATAAATTGTATTAATAATATACAGTTATATTATTGAAATATTGTTTATCTATAACAAATATTTTAACATAATTACGAATATATATCTCAAGTTTTTATAAATGAACTCCTAAATATCAATGCCTGTAGAAATCCTTGTCAATTAAAAATTTGAACAAAAATGCCTATTTGTTGCATATAGTTTACCAGTTTTCTTGTCTTCCACTCTAACTGTTCATATGACTATCTGTCTACTTCTCTACCTGTCTACCTCTCTACCTGTCTACCAGTTTACCTGTTAACCTGTTTGTCAGTCAACCAATTTACTTGCCTACTGATTCACCTGTCTACCAGTTTACTTGTCGACCAATGTTCCTGTCAATCTGTTTATCTGTATACCAATTTATCTGTTTACCAATTTACCTATCATTTAGTTTTACACGTCTACCAATTTACCTGTCTACATATCCGTCTAATTACCAATTTACCTGTCCATCAGTATACCTATCTACCAATTTACGTGTTAAGAAAAAAAAGTTGAAAGATATTTGTCAAAAACAGGCTTCTTCATACATATTTATATGAATATGTAGTAAATGAATCTGAAAAAGTTTTACTTCAGAAAGTCTTTTTATGGCGTGTGGGGTATTGTTTAAACGCTCTTTTTGAATAGAATAGGAATAATGAAATAAAATTTTGAATTTTGTAATTTTGCAATGCACGCCACAGCCACTCCATATAGTTATAAATCACTCTCAAATTAATATATTGATTTTTTAAGATTATTCATATTCATCTTAATGCAAAATGCGACTAATACCTTGTTATAAATATAAATAATCATATTAACTTTATTATATTTTAAAACATATGTTTTATTTTTAAATTTGAAAATTAAAGTATTATTATGAAGACATAACAGATGGCGCTGTTATTCCAACGACAAGTTCAGTTCATACAAGTGACAGTTCGTTCAACAATGGCGTCGTTCATACAAGTGACGTTTGTAAATTAATATTATGCAAAATAATTAAAAATAAACAATGGATACTACAATAACAAATATTCCTGATAATATATTAACACAATCATATCCTGGTGAAATAGTTGTCACAATGGATTCTAATTCATCCCCAATTTGTCGTGCTTGTTTAGCTGACAAAAACCTACAAAGTTTATTCATCGAACAAAAACAATTATCAGAAAATGAGAATTTAATCCTAAAAATGTTCATCTCCTGTACAGCCCTCGATGTGTCCCCAGACGACGAGTACCCCAAATACATTTGTGATTTGTGTCTTCGAGACTTGTACAAAGCCTACGAGTTTTGGACGAAGTGTCGAAACTCTTTACAGGAATTGGATAAACTCAAAGGTAAAATACAAAATGTATATATTAAAGAAGAATTTAAGTCTTTAGGTGATCCAAAAGATGCTGATACGAATATTTGTGATGATAAAGTTGTGATGGATGTGCAAAACAAAAATGTACATACCAAGTTAAGTAGTAAGGTTTTCCGAAAGACTAGAGTTAGGAAAGTTAAAGAAGACCAGGATGCTGCTGGTGTAGTAAAACAAGAATTTGACGATGTTTTGGAATTGGATGTACAATCTAATCATTCTAATCACAGTTATCATGACGATATTGACAATACCAGTAACTGTGAATACAACATCCATAATGACATCAAAAAAGAGCCCCAAGACTCCAACAATTTACACAAATGTACCACTTGCAACAAAAGTTATAAATCTTTATACTACCTAAACATGCACAAAAAGAAACATTCCGGTGAACAAGTAAAACCAACCTCAAGTATAATCCATTTATGTCAACTATGCGGTGTAGTCTTAGCCTCCAGTAGAAATCTACGAGAACACCTAGAATCCCACGGTGATTTAAGAAAATACACTTGCAAAACTTGTGAAAAGTCTTACAAAACCAAAAGAACTTTATACGCGCACATGGAAATCCATTCTAAAGAAAAAAGACATACTTGTGAACATTGCGGTGAGAAATTTAAAGTCAATCATTCCTTAAAGTGTCACATAAAACGTCGACACTCCAATGAAAAACCTTACGTATGCCATTTTTGTTCGAAGGCTTTCAAGTTTTCTTACAAATTAACTGAGCATGTCCGGCAGCATACAGGTGAGAAGCCTTATCCTTGTAAGGAGTGCACAATGGCATTCACAAATGCCGCTAGATTGAATGAACATATGTTGAAGCATACGGGGATCAGGAATTATTCTTGTCAGATTTGTGATAAACGGTTTTTGAAGCCCCAACATTTGAGGGTGCATATGGTTACGCACACGGGGGAGTGTAGACATAAGTGTAAAATTTGTGAGAAGGCTTTTAAGTATCAACAGATGCTGAAGAATCATATGAAAGTGCATAGTGAAGAACCTATCATGTAAATAGAGAGAAATGTAATTGAAAATTTTACTTTTGGAAATCGAAATTTATGTTTTCACCAGAAAATCCAATTAGCTAATTTTATATTTCAAGTCATTCAATTTTACATAGAGTTTTAGGTCTAAACCAGTGGTCGGGGTACCCAAATGGGGTAAAAAGTACCTCTTTTAGGGCATACAGTAAGATACTGTATTTGCTATGTAGTTCTCTGTATGGGGGTAATCCCTCTAGGCCATGGGGGTAATATCAACTTAGACAAAAATCTTTGAGGGTAATGATTAAAAAGTTCCCTGACTGCTGGCCCAAATGAATATCTTAAAATATTATAGGCCTACAAAAAGTGATTTGTTTATAAAAATTCACCAAAGTTTGGTCTAAATAAACATCTTAAAATCTTATAGGCATATGAAAAGTTATTTAATTCAAGTTTTAAAAGTTGCTAAATGTTTATATTTATTGGTTAAGTTAATTATTTACACATATCAGAAAGTTTGTGCAACTTGGCTTAAGGCCAAATGCCACTTATGTCTAGTTTATTGTTATAATTGTAAATACTTCTATTTTTTTTTAAATAGCGATAGAAATACATTTACGTATCTCAGTCCTAGATATTAAAAAATACAGATTTCTTTCTCTTGGCTCTGAAGAAACCACATTTAGGCATTTCTAAAGAGGGGAGGATTTAGAATGCTAATTTTTTCTCTATCAAAGAATACATCTCCACTTCTATATTATTATTATCATTTGTTATATCAAGTTTTAAAATTTCAAACTCTTATCTTGACAAATTTTAAAAATTGCTAATTATCTATTTTGCATCTTAAGGCAAAATGCCAATTATGTCTAGTTTATTGTAATAGTTGTTAATACTTCTATTTTTTTTAAATAGCGAAAGAAATACATTTACATATTTCAGGCCTTGGTGTGTTGGGCTCACAGATTTCTCTTTATTAAGAAACCACCTTCAGGCATTTTTTAAGGGGAAGGATCTAGAATGCTAATTCTCCCTTTTTTGAATAATACACTCAGACAAATTTTAAAAGTTGCTAAATATCTATTTGCATCTGTTCAGTTGATTACTTACACATATCGGAAAGTTTATTGCAATGCCACTTACGTCTAATTTATTGTTATAATTGTTAATAAACCTATTTTTCTGCCTAGTGAAAGGAATACATTTATGTATCACAGGCCTTGTTGGGCTTATAAATTTCTATCTTTGCCTTTGCAGAAACTATCATTAGGTTTCTTAATGGAGGAGGATCTAGAATGCTAATTGTCCCTCTTTTGAATAATACACTTCAACTTGTATATTATTATTATTATTAGACAAATTTTAAAAGTTGCTAAATATCTATTTAATCTATTCAGTTGATTATTTACACATATAAAGTTTTTGCAACTTGACTTAAGGCAAAATGCAAGGCAAGTCACTTATATCTAGTTTTATTGTTATAATTGTTAATACTTTTAATACTTCTTTTTTTTTAATAGCAAAAGAAATACATTTACGTACTGCAGTCCTAAATATCAAGAAATATTGATCTTTCTCTTGCCCTTTAAGAAACCACATTTAAGCATTACTTCAAGGGGGAGAATCTAGAATGTTAATTTTCTCTCTTTATAATATTACACTTCTACTTGTATATTATTTTTATTTGTTATATCTTTTTTGAAAAGTTTTGATATAAAACACATTAAAATAAAAAAAAGATGCAAAATATATATTTATTAAATTTTACTTTAATAAATATAAATCTGGTGACTTCTCTAATTTTATTTACATCTTATTGTTTTTATCATTATTATTATGTTCATCTAAATAGTAATAATCTAATATTATTACTTTATCCAAATTTTCTGCCCTTTTAACTTCCCGAAGTAGAAACTTGCGGGGAGGATATAGAATGCTAGTGTT